AGTTTAGAAGAAAATCATTATAACCTTTGACCTTGCAGTACTTATGTCATTTGAGGAAATTTCATGAATAGTCTTGTCTGGTGTACAGCTTGAACCCATGGTACACTAGAATGCATCAGAGTCTTTTAAAGAGACTCCACTGAGTTGTTTTTTGTTGTTGTTTTTTTGACATGACGGAAAATATTTTTTTCGAGATTAATACTCCTATGTAGGTCTAGACCAATAATAACTAGTGTGCAGAATTTCAAGTCATTCGGCCACTCCGTTTTTCCTGGATAATTATTCTAATGTGTGGAAAAAATGAACTCAAAATTGAAAAGCGTTGCAGCGCTTTTCATTAAAAATTCAGGATACAATTGTAGAAAAATACGATTTTCAAAATATTACTGCGTAAAATTTTATCATCTTGTGCATATTCTTCAGTTTTTAAGTGCCCCAGATGATCTATGTAAGAAAGGCAAATTTTGTGTTTTTTCTGATGAAAGTTTCAATCATCAAATGATGTAATATTTTATTGAATACTCCAAAGTAAAAACATCGCTCTTTTGTGCTAATATAGTTAAGTAAATAAAGTTTAATGTTTTGACGGAAGTGACGAAAGAATATATAATATATTTTCATTACTTGTGAAAATTTGTGAAAAAATAATCCGTAGAATTATCACCAAATTTTAAAACCACACCTGTGGGAGATGATGTAAGGGATAATTCGTCACAGATGTGACAGGAAGATGGATCCGTGGTTTGACGGGTTTTCAATGGCTAGAGCCCGAAAATTACCGTGAAGTGCTGTTTTCGGCCCGGGGGTACGAAATTGGCATGTGCCGCGTGCTCCACGAGACGGCCATTGTATTAACTAATCTTCGGACAGATTAAAACTGGACATTCTCTTTTAAGCATTTGTCCTCTAATTGCTTGATAATGAATGTTAACTGTTGCCCCATTGTAACGTCAGTTGTCCGCTGTTAAATGACCAAAACCACATTCTTTAAGCTAAATTGGCATGGTTTAAAGTGACCGCGTAAGAATAAAAGACGATTTGCTAAATGCTATATATTGAGGGATCTTGGTAACGGCCCTTTCTCCTAAGGTGAAAGGGTCACACGTCTGTCCCCATTTTAGTTGAAGTAACAGTTGTGTTAAAAGGGCAGTGACGTAACCTTTTCAGTTCAACATACGTTATTTCGGATGATAAACTGTTGTTTCTGACAAACTGTTAAGAAATAAAAACAACTTTAGCTAAACCCCATATTACGGTGCTACCTAATAACTAATTTATTTCTATATAGGTCAAAAAACGTAATTTTGTTATATAATATAATTAAAATGAACTTTTGACAATGTTCCTATATTCATTTGTGTGTTTGGCCCTTTCTGTGATGCACGCCTTTAGAAAACATTCAGCTTAGTTGTATGGGCAAAATATTAGTATGAAAATTGTTGAACTTTATTCTTTTCTGGGACACGGCCAACAGAACCCCTCGTTACAAACAAAAATTGCTAAATCTTCTCACAAGAGGACAACATAAAGACATGTCTCTCAAAAATCCACATTTGTGAAGCGGTAATCTCTATTGTTTTGTTAAACTGACACGACCGCTGTTTAAATAATTCCGACACGGGAAAATCTTCATTTTAAAATGTTTGATGAATATCTGGTCAAAGATTTCAATGTAATATTTGATGGCCCTTATTGTCCTCTCTCACCTGTAATTCCTTTTTTCCAGGTGTCATGCATGCCGATGCACACTTGCAACGGTTTGACCCCGAGGTCATGCACATGTCATCTTGATCATCAAGGCGCATCTTCCGGTGCTCATTGCTAATTGAATTGTGGGACATATTCTTCAGACGATAATACCTTTATTGATGCAGTAATTACAAATGACCGGGTCCGTTTACAAGACATGGTTTGTATCTCGACTATAGCCGTCACTTGATAATAAATTAAAAAACGTGGCACAAATATTGAAATATCACATTGAAATTTGGCGATGGTCATTGTTTTATCATTTTTTTAAAATGTGCAAATAAATACTGTGTTACAAAAAGTAAGATCACAGTAATATCTTTAAAAAGTATATACTAATGGCTCTATGAATTTTTTTTTAAATTAAAAACATATTTTTGTCGATATACCATGCAAACCCACTAGCTGAAAATCTAAGTAAATTTGCCTGCCTAGAATCATATTAAAGACTAATGAATAAATATAGATTTACGGTATAGTTTTTTCGCAAGCCAAATATCAGATTCGGGGATCGTCACTTTTTATTAAAAATTAAAATTTTAGAGGAGTAATATGCTTAATTTATGATAAAATTACTTTTTGGACTGCACAATTTCATAACATTTGGTTTATAATACCATATTACTTACATTCGTAAAGTTTGATGTAAAATTTGGAACAAGTAATATACACAATGCAGGGGCGACAACTGCTGTAGCATTATTGAACAAACTCCTACGCAGTAGTCCCCCTTTGCTTCACGGGCATACGAGTATAATCACTGTCAAGTGTATTGAAACTGAGGGGCGTGGGTTCAAACCCAAGAAGGAGCAATTTTTTTTTCTTTCTTTTTTTTCTTTTTAACATTTTTTATGAATCACTCAGACCCTTAATGGATGAAAAAAGTGTTTCATTTTAATTATATAATTATTGTAGGTATTTATTTGGTAAATAATGCCAAATTTGATAGCAAATATGATACCAGATATTTTCAAAGTTTAATAAAATAAAAACTGCACGGTAAAAGTATTTAATATTTTGCAAGACCCACCAATATACCTTTAAGAAAATTTAGGCAAACTTTGAAAACAGCCCCTCATTGTGAAAAATTTTAAGGATATTTTAAATAAGGCTTTTTACATATGGAAATGGTCAAAGTGTTTAAAGTGGGTGGGGTAGGGTTACATTTTTATACATATTAAAAAAATTTCGTTTAGAAACAATCGTTTTGCTTGTTTAATTTGTTTACCTGAATGTCACTATTTGTTTCTTAACAATGAGCAATAGGAAAACATTTTTCATAATGATGATATTATAGATTATTTAGAGTTTCCTCATTTCTGAAAAAGAGCCTTTCTAATGGCAAAGTTTTAGTTCAGAAAAATGTCCATAACTCATAAACCACACAGTAAATTTTGTTTAAATTTTGCATACAGGTGACATTTTAGGCATAACTGTCCTATGGTGTCAATTTAACAGTTCCTTACAGTGTCCATTAGGGGTGTACTACCTTAAGGGCGTAACGTTGCTGATCAAATTTTAATAGAAATGGATCAGATAAATAGGTTCATCAAAAAATGTCTAACCAGTATTTGAAACAGAGGCAGCTACCTATCTTTCTATTGAAGCAAAAAATCCAATCCAAGGCCTTTGCTGGTTCGAATTCTACAATGAGCTTTGACTTCTATTATGTTAAAAATATCCAGCTAGTGGATAATCAATATTTATATTCAGTTTCCTCGGTTACTTTGCTTGTGTCTGAAATAATGCATGAAGGATCGAGCACTCGAGGTCTTCTTTACCAGTAACAAGTTACTTCCTGCCATTTGTAATCAAGTAATAATTTTATACTCAACATTTACTTTCCTTTTAAGCAAGGCAGGATCTGAACCAAGACAAGGTAGGATTTAAACCGAGGTCATAGGATTTTAACCAAAGTCGAGGCAGTATTGTACGAAAGTCAAGGCATTATTTGAACCAAAGTCGAGCAAAGTTAAGCAAAGTCGGGACGGATTTAAATTAAAGTCAAGGAAGGATTTGAACCAAACTCAAGGCAGGATCTGAACCAAGTCCAAGGCAGAATTTGAACCAAAGTCCAAGGCAGGATTTGAACCTAAGTCCAGGCAGTATTTGACCAAAGTTTTAAGGCAGGATTTGAACCAAAGTCAAGGCAGTATTTGAACCGAAGTCAAGGCAAGATTTGAACCAGTCAAGGCAGGATTTCAACCAAAGTCAAGGCAGGATTTCAACCAAAGTCAAGACAAGATCTGAACCAAGTCCAAGGCAGAATTTGAACCAAAGACAAGGCAGTATTTAACCAAAGTTTAAGGCAGGATTTGAGACCAAGTCAAGGCAGGATTTGAACAAAATCAAGGCAGGATTTTAACCAAAGTCAAGGCATGATTTTAACCAAAGTCGAGGCAGTATTTTAAGAAAGTCAAGGCAGTATTCGAACCAAAGTTAAGGCAGTATTTGAGCCAAAGTCAAGACAGGATTTGAACCAAAGTCCAAGGCAGGATTTGAACCAAAGTCAAGGCAGTATTTGACCAAAGTTTTAAGGCAGGATTTGAAACCAAGTTTAAGGTAGGATTTGAACCCAAGTTTAAGGCAGTATTTGAACCAAGTCAAAGCAGGATTTTAACCAGTCAAGACAGGATTTTAACCAAAGTCGAGGCAGTATTTTACGAAAGTCAAAGCAGTATTTGAACCAGTCAAGGCAGTATTTGAACCAGTCAAGGCAGTATATGAACCGAAGTCAAGACAGGATTTGAATTAAAGTCAAGGCAGAATTTGAACCAGTCAAAAAAAGACTTGAACCAAAATCAAGGCAGGATCTGAACCAAGTTCAAAGGGCAGAATTTGAACCTAAGTCCAAGGCAGGATTTGAACCAAAGTTTAAGGCAGTATTTGAACCAAAGTCCAAGGCAGGATTTGAACCAAAGTCCAAGGTAAAGTCAAACCCAAAAAGAGAGAAAAAATGAGGTCCAGAACTATTAAGATTATAGGGAGAGATATGTGAATACATGGCTGATGTCAAATGGAGACAATTTATCCAGTGAGCGAGAAGGTTTTTCTTGACGAGCTTTAGCGAGCCAAGATTCACTTTCGAAGCCAACCAGATGCCTATATGTAGTTTTGTTTTGCTGCTAACCATGTGACGTAATGACTGGAGATCCGGCAAAGCTTTATCCAGCTGACAATATATACAGTACCTGGATTTATTATATTACACTGTATTCTTATATGATGTAAGGAAATCACATAACAATATATATTTATATAAAAGTATATTTTAAACATTTTGTAAAATATCTTTAACAAAACATATGAAAGAAATGATCTGCAGTTGGATGTCTTTATTTCAAAAGTTCTGTTGAAATGTAGAAACCAAATTCATGAATAAATCCTGTTTTATCCAAGATCAATCCTGCTTTAAAGATAACTTCAAAAAATAACTTTATATAAACACAAACAGCTAAGAAGTCTTTCACTCTTGAAATTGTAAAATTTTCTCGCAACAGAGTTCATTAATTTTCTTAAAAGTATAAATTACGTAAATTCATAAAAAAGATTCAAAATGGAGCAAAAAGGTTAGTCATACATGATCAATTTTATTTTACTTTTGAAAAACAAAAACTGAAATAAAAAAAAAATGACACCAGAAAAACGACGTTTTTGTCTTACATGTAATTCAAGTGGTTGTCAGTACCGAAACACATTATTATCCCCTGTGTAAAATGCAACCATTGCTTAATTTAAATTTAAGTAGAATTTGAAAAAAAAATCAGTGTTAAAGAACATATTTTTGACAGAAAGGCATAGTCACCTTATCTAAGGATTATCTTGCATCTGGTGTAAAATATTCATTATAATGGATGTTTTTTTTTTAATACAATAAAAAAAAAATAGTGGAAAAATATATTTTAGATTTTAAATAAATTTTAATGAATATAAAATTATGAAATCTTAAATTTCTTTTTAAAATAAAAAAAAAACACCCCAAACAATCTATTGGAAATTGTAAATTACTTATTACTTAAGATATTTTTTTTCAGTCCATGTAGCAGTTTTAATTATTAAAATAATTCAAATCTTTGATAAAAAATGGAAATGAACCTGTGGGCCATTTTGACTTGTTTACTCTTGACTGATTTCACACAGGGAAAGCAAAGTTGACTAGAAGAAGAAGAAAAAAAAATTGATATATTTTCTCCAATATATTACCATTTATGTATGATACTCTATTATGAAAACAAGTTATAAATATAAGAATCCAAAACTTATAAATTTTAGACAAAAAAAAAAAAAAAAATTAAATATAAGAAACAATCTAGACAGACATGACACAACTGAAACAAATAAATTTATATGAAAAAATGGTGTTATATGACCTCACAAAAATTGAACACATTTGTAAATGGCTAACTAGAAAATCCAAAGCACATTTCTCGGCAAATAAAAAAAAAAAAATCTCAAAATTCTCATATAAAACGTAACATTTTTTCTCTCTCACTTTGTTCAAATAAATTTTTTTGCTACGTATCACATATAAACATCGTAACATTTTGAAAATTGGAAGTCATCTTGTTACATAAATTTCATAATCTGAGGTAATTAGTTATCAATGGTATTTCTAGTTTGTTTTTTTCACTGAACACTAGTCATACATGGCTCGCGCACGGGCTGTTGGTCTGCGCACACGACCCCGTTGACTTACAGTCACAGCACTTGTATCATCACTCTCCGAATTCCCACTGTCTTCCGTATACTTTATTGTAGATTTCCCCTGATTCCGAGTTCGCCTACCCTGCCGAGACCCTGAAACGAAATGCTGTGACTCATGACTGGAATTCTCGTATCGTGAAAGTCTACCTGGTGGACTTGAGTCACTCTCACTATAATGACCCCGTGTATTTTGAGATCCCTGAGATGCCCGTGACCTTGTCACTGGACTATGATCGTCTGAATTCAAGTCTTCCGTGATAGAGTCATCTTCTGCTTCTTCTTCTGGACTGGATCCCTCTTCAGATTTACTGTCATCTTCAGTTTTAGATTCTGAATCAGTATTTGCACGTGTTTTTCTTTTCTTTTTAACTGGTTCACTATTTCTTTTAATTCTTTTTCTCCGGTCTTTATTTTTTCTGCCTCTTACGCGTTTTCTTGAACGTTTTGGTGTATCCGATTCCGTATCGCTTTCAGTGTCACTTAGTTCATCTTCATTCATTGATTCTACTTTTATAAGACGCCTGCCACGTTTAGATTGTCTTGCTGGTGACCTAACCGGTGACCTTACCGGAGACCTAGTCCGAGATCTGGTGGGCAACGTCGGAGATTCAATTTCAGTGTCACTATCACTCTCTCCCTCACTTTCTGCCGTTGGCTCCTGACTACCATGTGCCCGGCCGAATGACCGAGCACCATTGTTTTGAGATCTTTTAGCACTATTTGTGTCAGCTTTATTTATCATATTTTCATTATCATCTTCATCTGTGAAGAACCCTTCATTGGTATATTTCCGCATTTTGATAGTTCCGGTCCGAGCACGTGTAGAGTATCTTGAGTTAGGATCGTCTTGTTGAGAATTTTGAGAAGAGCCATTCGACAGAGTTCTCTTTCCTGTTCCTGTAATGGGGAAAAATATGACTAATGATAGGATTTCATCTTTTTCTAAAATGGTCTCCAAAACTACCATGGTAACTGTATTATTGAAGTATTTTCAATTTCTTGAATGATAGTTATTCAGAGTAAAAAAAAATTGTTTCGGAAATAGATATCAATTTTAAGTGCATGGTTTCAGAATCATGCAAGGTTGGAGCTAAAATGCCTGGTAATATAACCACAGGCCAAATAGGCCTTTATAATTAATTACAAAGCATTTGAACAATAAACCAAGCATCATTGTACTTCAACACAAGATTATTTAATATCTTTTGCCATTCTAACATGCTGATAGAAAGAGATTTGATACAAATACATGTGTGTAGAACTACATTGATGTTCATGACATCATTTGGTTTACTGTCGTCAAATTTGACTTCATACAGTGTGTAAACATTCCTTTCATAACTTTGTGCATATATTGTGTAATTACTAAACACTTAATTGTTCAGTCTCTTTTAGGTATAACGCCCCTAATTGGAAATTTCAAAAAGCTCAAGCTTGACACTTGATTGTCTTTATGTTTATTCTTGACAATTCTTAAAACACAACCATCACATATAGTTGACGAAGGTTTATATTTAAAGTCATTAACAACAGTATAAATCTATAATTTTACCTTTTCTCTTCCCTGCTTTACGAGGCTGCAACTGAAAGTCATCATCAGAGTAATCGGGTTTAGGTTCGGGAAATTCCTGGTTTTCTAGATCACTGTCATTGTAACCTGTTGTTAACTGTACAGTACGACTCTCTGTCACAAAAATAAAACAAAAAACATTAAGCCTTTTGCCTGCATTATTCAAGTAATTGATGTGTCAAGCTTTAAATTTGGAATGGAGCTAACCATCGAAATCTTTAGTGATAAAGAGGATATTTGTTTAGTTCAGTGTAAGATCAGAATATATTTCACCGAGTGAGCACCAAAAGGTATATTTCACGAGTTGCATAGCCAGAAGTGAAAGATGAAATATATTTCGATCTTACATTAAACTAAACAAATTTTCTTTTTATTATATGCAAAGAAACGTTTAAAAAGACAATTTTACGTACCGGTAATACTAAATGAAAAGCGCGCAAAATTATAATATAACATGACGTCATGTCATTAAGTTTTCCAGTACTGTGCACGCTGGTATTTCATTGAAACAACGTAACGGGCTTAAATTCAAAACAGTGAAATTATCAAATTGATAATTTCACTGTTTAAAACTGTGAAATTATCAGTTTTATATTTCACCGATATATAGAGGATATTTGTTTAGTTCAGTGTAAGATCGGAATATGTTTCACCGAGTGAGCACCAAAATGAATATTTCACGAGTGGCGCAGCCACGAGTGAAATATGAATTTTTGGTGTTCACAAGGTGAAATGTATTTCAATCTTACACTAAACTAAACAAATTTTCTTTTTATTACATGCAAAGAAACGTTTTAAAAAGACATTTAACCTAATACTGAATGAAAAGCGCGCCAAATAATAAAACAACGTGACGTCATTTACGACGTCACGTCATTAAGTTGGTACCCAGTACTGTGCACGCTGGTATTTCACTGAAACAACGTAAGGGGCTTAAATTCAAAACAGTGAAATTATCAAAGTGGTAATTTCACTGTTTTAAGGTATTAGCACCCTAATGCATTACCTCCGCTTTGAAGAGTATTCAAATAGGCTAAAACTACTGTTAACTACATTGAAAATGAGGGCCATGGGTTCAATCCCCAGAAGGGTCAACTTTTTTTTTCTTTCTTTTTTTCTTTTAACATTATTTATGTATCTCTCATGTCCCATTTGGAAAGAAAAAAGTGTTTAATTTTGATTTTTTAATTTATATAGGTATTTATTGGCTAAATTATGCTAAATATAGTAATAAATATGGTACCTGATATTTTTAAAGTGTAATATAATCAAAACTAGACGGTAAAAGTATTTCATATTTTACAAGATCAACCAATATACTTTTTTAAAAATTTAGGGAAACTTTGAAAACAGGCACTCATTTGAATAAATTTTAAGAATTTTTTAAATTAGGCTCCCTAAGTAGAAAAATGGTCAGACACGTGGTAAAAATGGGTGGGGTAGGGTAACATTTTTATACAGATTTCATAAATTTTAAGTAGAAACCATAATTTTGCTTATTTGAATTGTTAGCTGAATGGTACTATTTGTTTCTTACCAAAAATTAATGGGAAATCATCTTTCATTAGAATGTTATTGCAGATTATTTAAAGGTTCCTACTTTCTAAAAAAGGGCCCTCATAACATCCTAGCTTGAGTTCAGAAAAGTGGCCATAACTTGATTTCCGTACGGTAAACTCTGTTTAAATTTTGCATACAGGTGTACTTTAAGGTATACATCTGACTTATGATGTCAATTTTTTAGTTCCTGATAGTGCCCATTAGGGTCCTAATACCTTAAACAGTGAAATTACCAGTTTTATATCACTGATATATTTCTATAAACCACCGAAAAGCATGTAATAAATTTCTATAAACCACCGAAAAGCATGTAATAAACTGGCATAACTCAGATTGTACACATAACTTTCTCAACAATGATGGCATAGACAATGTTATCATCACTGTTTAAATTCAAGTCCAAGACAGGATTTGAACCCAAGTGCAAGGTTGGATTTGAAGTCTAAGGCATGAACCCAAGTTTAAGGCAGGATTTGAACCAAAGTCTGAGGCAGGATTTTAACCCAAGCCCAAGGTAGGATTTGAACATAAGTTTAAGGCAGGATTTGAACCCAAGTCTAAGGCAGGGCTTGAACCCAAGTCTGAGCCAGGATTTGAACCAAAGTCTAAGGAAGGATTTGAACCCATGTCCAAGGTAGGATCTGAACAAATCTCTAAGGCAAGATTTGCACCTAAGGCCGAGGCAGGATTCAAACCCCTTGTTTGAATTCTGAAGATTTACTTAACTTAAAATAATTCGCCATTTATTAATCATCCGCTGAAGAACTCACAGGTAAGTTTAATTTCTGTCTTAGTTGACATTAACACGCCAGTGCTTTTGCGAAGCCGTAAAAATGGTTTTGTATGGCCATGCATATATCTTGATGTGGTGTCACTAGCATACAAAAATGGCATAAAGACACACTCAGTGTTGGCGCAACCACTATAAGCTTGTAAATAAAAACATGTTTTTTTTTTTTGCAAACAGTCCTTATTTTGGGTATTTTAAATAAATAAAACTTTAAAAATTTTGTTCCTTTTTTAAAAAGTTTTTTTTGGGAATATCTTGAAAAAAAAATTTCCCGAAAAAAAATGTTTAAAATTTTACCTCTAAATGGACAGCCCTGGTAAATTTTTTTTTCCCCTTTTCGGGTGATTTTCACTTTCAAAATCTGTTAAAATCCATTGTTTGAAACGTGGCCCTTTCCGTTTTTTTTGGGACCAACTTTCCCGGGGACGGACTGTCGGGGAAGAAGGGAGCGGCAGGCCCGACTTTAACTGCCACACTGGAGGGTCGGCCTCCCTCGAAACCCTTGGAGGGTTGTATTTGAAATTTAAAATTTTTTTTTAACTTTTTAAAATTAAGGCATAAAAAGAAATTCATTTTTTTCTTATTTTCCCAAATTACCCACTTAAGTTTTTATACGTTGAAACAGACAAAAAAAATACAATACCCAAAAACATGCCCAAATTTTTCCTACGAACAAAAAAAAAGTGGGTTTTAAAACCCCAAAAAGTCATTTTTTATGCCCAAATTTAAAAACACTAAAAAACCCGGGGTTATAACTTACGGGGTTTGGATCTGTTTGCCTTGACGTCAAACCAGCTTTTTTTCCATGTAGTTTTTTATTTCCCTTTTCATTACGAATTTTCAAACCCATGGCTGACAGACTAAGGGTAAATTGTTTTAGACTCCCAAAAAAAAATTTATAAACCCAAAAACGTCTATAAAACCCTCAAAAAAATAAAAACCAAAAGTCTCAAAAAAAGTCTTTAACTTTAGTAAAACCTTTTAAACAAAAACTTTAAAAAAAACAAAAAAATATTTCCATCCTTTTTAATTAGCCTGAAAAAAGTGGCATTTTTCTTTTCCTTTCTGGGGTTCTTACAAAAAGTTTAAAATGAAAATAAATAAGGCAACATCATTCACAAAAATTAACATATTCATTCTTTTCTATGTCTTGCATTGGCTTAAGAAAAATTTGCATAATCATTGTTTCTTATGTCTTACATAAGAAAATCAGCCCATTTGCTCACAGTAATTTAGCACATTAATCCCATTAGGTATTTCACATATTTTAATGCGTTATGTAATTTAACATTATTTTTTACAGAATGTTTATACATGTACAGTAGAACTTCGGTGAGTCGAACTTCGATTAGTCGATTTTCTCGATGTGTCGAATTAAAATGAAAGTCCCGATTTTTTCCCCTATATATTCCTTATAAAAACCTACAAATGAGTCGAACTTTTATGTGTCGAATTTTTCGATGTGTCGAGTTTTTTCTGTGGTCCGTGTAGAATAAATCGAGTGCAATTTACCACAAATAAGTCGAAGTCCTTCAATACTTTTTACACCTTTTAATCTCCAGATATTTTTTCACACCTTTTCCACCCGCGTAGATGATTGCCGATCATCTTATCTGACAGGTGTTAATAACACACAGCCGCTTGTTTTAACAGCTTTTGCATGCGTTTCTATGTGTGAAAAATATCCTTTATTATGTCTTAAATCGTTATCACTCTCAATGTCATATGAAATTCCGAATATAAACCTTATGAATGTTGACAAATTAGTTCCATTATGGATATTTCTACTGATTCATAACGTGTTGGTAAGCGAAGGACCAGGTACCCAACCCGGGGGATAGCGAGCCGCACAAACGTGACCGAAGCACTCAAGTGAAGGACCCGGTTATTCCGGGGGGATAGCTAGATCGGTCAGATCAGAGCAAGGAATAAAGCGTAAACTGAATGTGCAGACTTACGAAATTAAATACCAGGCAATACTATAAGTAGAAAAGGGAATAAAGAAAAAAGATGTCGCAAGTAAATTTGGTATTCCACCTTATTAATAAATACACTTTCAACTTGGTTAAAACAAAGAGATGAAATTAAAAAGAAGTTTTCAGAGGCAGACATTGGCCCACAACGCAAACGTGACAAAAAGGCAAAATTTCCAGAGTTAGAAAGTGCCCTCTTGCAATGGTTTTCTAATGCAAGATCAAACAAGAAACATGGCAATGCCATGAAACCAGGTTTTCAATTATCACCATTGTAGATAAATATGTTGTATTTGAAATACAAATACAAGCAACAAACAATGTAACTATGTGCAATGTAAAACATGAATAATGTAGGAGGAATTGCCACTGAAGAAGTGTTCACTATAATATTATGTATAAGGAAAAAAAACACAAGGGCCATAATTAGGTTCAAAAACTATCCAATCACAAAACCCCGACAATATGTGCCAGGGTGCTTGATGAAAAAAGCTTCTGTGAAAGTTTGGAACAAAATCCGTTGAGAAATGTAGGACGAGTTCAGCAGCATGAAGAATTTGTTCAACTATAATTATATTGATAATTCTGTATAATGAAAAACAAGTTAACAAAGTAGACATGAAATAATATATCATATCTTTTTTTTTAAATTACCTCCAAAGATGATATGACCTTTGACTGCCAAATCAAGTTAAAATCATGTAAACAGGATTTTCAATGTTAATGTCACTTGACCTTGACCTTGGAGCCAGCCATGCGGAACATGCGTTCTGCACGTCATCTTGATGTGGTAAACATTTGTCTGAAGTTTCATCAAAAATTCTTCAAAGGGTTGAAGAGTTACAGAGCGGACAGGATTTTCAATGTTAATGTCACTGTTGACCTTGACCTTGGAGCCAGCCATGCGGAACATGCGTTCTGCACGTCATCTTGATGTGGTAAACATTTGTCTGAAGTTCATCAAAAAATTCTTCAAGGGGTTGAAGAGTTACAGAGCGGACACAATTTCGTTTGACGCCCGCCCGCCCATCCGCCCATCCGCCCGCCATACCCCAATCTAATAACCAGGATTTTCAAAATTGAAAACCTGGTTAAAAACATACCGCTATCTGGTGAAATTGTCAAACAAAAAGCAAAGCAATTTGCAGACCAGATCAATGTTTCTGATTTCGAGTGCTCAACAGGCTGGCTTGACAGATTTAAAGAAAGACATGAACTGTCCTTCAAAAAAGTTTGTGGTGAAGCAAAATCTGTCGACTCTAATTCCACAGCAATGACCGAGTGGAAATCTAAACTTCAGACCTATCTGACTGGATATGAGCCACAAAACATTTACAATGCCGATGAAACTGGCTTGTTCTTTAGAATGTTGCCTGACAATACCTTAGAATTTAAAGATGTTCAGTGCCACGGTGGTAAAATGAGCAAGGATCGATTAACAGTTATGGTCTGCGCAAACATGACAGCGTCTGAGAGTACCACTTTTTGTGATAGGAAAATCAAAAAATCCTCGCTGTTTCAAAAATCTAAAAACAATGCCAATTGAATATGATGCAAACAAAAAAGCATGGGTCACATCAGAAATCTTCACTAACTGGGTGAAAAAGTTTGACCGCCGTATTTCGGCACAGTCGCGAAGGGTTCTGTTGATTGTCGACAACTGCCCTGCGCATCCAGACATCACGGGATTAAGATCTGTCAAACTCATATTTCTGCCACCAAACACAACATCCGTGACCCAACCTATGGATCAGGGAGTCATAAAAAATCTCACTAAAAAGCAAGTCATTCAACGACAGCTTCGAGCTATTGAAAAAGGTGGAGAAACAAGCATCTCGGTTTTAGATGCATTGTACATGCTCAAAACAGCTTGGCATGCTGTCAGTCCTCAGACTATTGCTAACTGCTTCCGACATGCTGGATTCCAGCAGTCTTCAGTTTCCGGTATTGAAATGATTGAGGACGACCCTGAGGATGACTTACCTCTGTCAACTCTGAGGCGTCTGACCTCTGGTGTATCGTTTGAGCAATACACATCGGCAGATGACAGTGTTCCGGTATGCGCTGATCTCAATGACGAGGAAATCATAAATAACGTTGTTTCACAACGTCAATCTCACGATGAAACCCTTCCTGATGATAACGATGATGATGAGCTGCCTTCAAGATCTGGAGTGACTATTTGCGATGCCATGGACGGATTAGATGCGGTCAGGGACTTTCTTCACCAACAAGGAATCGGGAGTTATGCGGAGACAGAAAGAGCCATCGCAAAATTAAGTGACATTAGTTCTATGTTCAGCAGATATTATCTAAGAAGAAGTGAGTGTAAGCAGACATCAATCTCTGATTTCTTTGTAAATGTTAATGATAATCGTTTATAAACATTGTGATGTGTGATATTCATATTCGTTAATAAAAAATGTGCTCATTATTCATTGTGTATTAAAAAGTAAAATGTATTCATTTAAGTCATGTTTTATTTGCCTGTTTTGTTGTACATAAATAAATGAATGAATAAATAAATAAATTTTGTTAAAAAAATATTCTTGTTTTGTTTTAAACACGCACGAAACAGTATTGTATCTGATCCGTACTATAAGATGATTTACTTATCGCCCCTTTTCTTTGTAACGCCATTTGTAATGTCATTTGTAAACGTTGTGTCAGAGCGAAATTTTGTCACAAAAATTCAGACCTATATATAAGTCGAAGTCCCGATGTGTCGAACTTTTTACGTAAGTCCCTTGAACTTCGATTTACCGAAGTTCTACTGTAATTCATTATGAAATTTCAATAAAAATTCAAATCGGATATTAAATGAGTACAAAGTAATGTAATACCAACAAAACAGGAATAGCAAACACAATAAAACAGAACAATCCAAACAAAATAAATGAGCAACGTCACGACAAAACCAACATAGTGCGTTTGCGACCAGCATGGATCCAGACCAGTCTGCGCATCCGCGCAGTCTGATCAGGATCCATGCTGTTCGCTTTCAGTTTCTCTACTTGTAATAGGGTTGGTAAGCGAACAGCATGGATCCTGATCAGACTGCGCGGAGCACAGGCTGGTCTGGATCCATGCTGGTCGCAAACGCATTACGTTGGTTTGTCGTGATGCAGCTCAAATAACGGGCCCAAAAATATGCACTTATGGAAAAAAAAATAAAAAATTTATTTTTTACCCCCTGAAGGCCCCTGGTCAGAAACCGCCCCCCATTCTCTATAACATGTTAAATGTTTTTGTTTTTTTTAACTTATTTAAACTTTTTTAAAATCATTAAACAATTCAAGAAAGCATTAAAAAAAAGGTAAAAAAAAGCATGAAAGAAAAAAGAAGAAATAAATAAAAAATAAGAAAAAAAATAAAATAAAAAATCTTGTTTTTTTTTTATTACAATTCCCCAAATTTTCCCCAAAAACCCTACCTAAACCAAAAAACCCCCAAAGGGGGGGGTTGAATAACCCCCAAAACAAAACACTAAAAAAAGCATATAGTGCCCTTTCCAGTTTTTATGGGCAGATTTTTGTGTGTTTGGGTTTTGTTTACCCCCCGCCACCGGGAAAAGAGAACATATGGCCTAGCATAATTATATAGGTGGAGATTTTATGTATTTTTCCAAGCATGACTGGGCAGCTGAACAGAAACATTGACCTTCTGTAGGCTAGCTAGATTTACTGATAGGCATACAGGTGAAGGGCAAGTGTTATGAAGTCAGCCCCCTTTAAACCCCTTTAGCCACAGAGGGGTCCCCAAAAGTTTTAAGGTTCAAAAAAGGTTTTTAAAAATATTTATTTTAAACTCAATTGGGAAAAAAGTTTTTTGGCAACTTTTTATTTTGATACTTTGAAATCTGCTTTAAACCCGTAAGGTGTCTTAAAAAAACATGACTGTGACCCCAATTTTTGGTTTTTAAACCCATGATCCCTGGGTTGAGAGGCAGACACCTTAAACACTAGGCCACTGCTTCCTTCTGTTTCAAATGTTTGGATAACTTGATAATAAGCTAACATTATCTTGAAAAAATTTCTGAATCATGAGATACATATATGTATACACAAGACGACAAGCCACTGTAAATCCCAAAGTTATTTTGTAAAATAAACCATGCAGCTTTCGTTTATCCTGCCTTATTCAAACCCTTACCCTGCTAGAGTCTTAAGTGATTAGCCTTTGCCATCAGTATAGAACCAGGCCAGCCTGCACATTCCCTACAAGCTGACGTCACTCTAAAATATTGGCTGACAAACTTTAAATTTTCATTTTGATTTCCCCAAATTGATAATGGACAGTTCCATTAAAGAAAGCTAGACAAGCCCATTTAAGAATTTCAGCAGGGGTAAAGGTTAAATTACTACCTGTGACTTTCTCTTCAGAATATCAAAAGACAAAAAAAAGTTCACATTACTGTTTTACATAGGATTTACATAGGATTTAACATAATGAAATATTAAATAATCAAATTGCATGTGCATAAAAAAGCCAAAAAATTGTACACAGTTCTATTGAAGATTGAAAGGTCCTTTTTCAAAATATTGAAAAAACAAGAAACATGGCAATGCCATGAAACCAGGTTTTCAATTATCACCATTGTAGATAAATATGTTGTATTTGAAATACAAATACAAGCAACAAACAATGTAACTATGTGCAATGTAAAACATGAATAATGTAGGAGGAATTGCCACAGAGGAAGTGTTCACTATAATTATATTCTTTATAAGGAAAAAAAACAAAGGGCCATAATTAAATAAAAAATTATTCAATCACAAAACCCCGACAATATGCACCAGGGCACTGGATAAAAAAGCTACTGTGAAAGTTTGAAACAAAATCCGTTGAGAAATGTAGGAGTTCAGCACAGAAGAATTTTTTCACTATATATCTGTATAAGGAAAAATAACAAAGAGCCAAAATTAGGTCAAATATTATCCAATCACAAAACCCCGATAATGTGCGCCAGGGCACTTGATGACAAAGCCTCTGTGAAAGTTTGGTCAAAATCTGTTGAGAAATGTAGGAGAAGTTGCGCATGGTAAAAAATTTCACTATATAATCTGTATACTTAGGAAAAAAAACAAAGGGCCATAATTAGGTCAAATATTATACAATCACAAAACCCTGACAATATGCCTTTAAGGCACTTGATGACAAAGCCTTTGTGAAAGTTTGGTCGAATTCCGTTGAGAAAATGTAGGAGATTTTTTGCGCACAGAAAAATCGTTCACTTTTATATCCTATATTGGGAAAAAAAAACAAAGGGCCATAATTAGGTCAAATATTATCCAATCACAAAACCCCGACAATATGCCGCCAGGGCACTTAATGACAAAGCCTCTGTGAAAGTTTGGTCAAAATCCATTGAGAAATGTAGGAACAGTTGGGCACAGAAGAAGTTTTTCACTATATATTCTATATAAGGAAAAAAAACAAAGGGCCATAATTAGGTCAAATATTATCCAATCACAAACCCCGACAATATGCGCCAGGCACTTGATGACAAAGCCTCTGTGAAAGTTTGGTCAAAATCCATTGAGAAATGTAGGAACAGTTGGCACAGAAGAAGTTATTCACTCTATGTTCTATATAAGGAAAAAAAAACAAAGGGCCATAATTAGGTCAATATTATCCAATCACAAAACCCCGACAATATGCGCCAGGTCACTTAATGACAAAGCTTCTGTGAAAGTTTGGTCAAAATCCGTTGAAAAATGTAGGAGGAGTTGCGCACAGAAGAAATTTGTTTACGCCCGCCCGCCCACCCGCCCGCCCGTCCGCCCATCCGCCCGCCGACATACCTCAATCTAATAACCAGTTTTTCCTTCGGAAAACCTGGTTAAAAAATTAAAAAAATTCTCTGACATACATGTATCTTAAGTCATTGTCATCGTGTCTATTCTTTAACATGATTATTTGTCTTGTTCCTTAAATTCAAATTTATGATATCATTTTATTTGTTACTGTTACAACCTGTAAATAGTACCAGCATGCATTATCAAGGTTCCTAGATCTAATTACCTTGTATTTTTAAATTTTTTTACAAAAATAAAAAACCTGCACAGAATCATAAGGAAAACTTGTTAAAGACCCAAAGACTTGAACATACATAAATCTCAAACAAATTCCATATAGATTTCACAGACAAAAATATTTAGAAAAGCCACAGTTATATCACAGTTGTTAGTGTTATTTCCATAATTTTGAAAATTCCCTATCGGAAGAAATTGCGTCAAATTTAGGCCCACCACATTAGTTCTGGTGTCTTATCAGAAATTTGGGGGGAAAAAATGGCCAGAAACAACACCCTTTAGAGCTAAGTAGACAGACAGACTCATCAACAGACAGTACTCCAAAAACCACTAGTAGAGTTATCTTACCTTGGCGCGCTTGTTGGTGTTATACGTCTTTGAATTGGAGAATATCAGCGACATATCTTTGGCAAACTGCTGTGGTGTCTTGTAGTTACCATACTCCAAGTTCTCTCTTACAATGCTCAAATCCATCGGATATTCAATAACATTGTAATAATCCTAAAATAAAATACAATCTTCTAGTCAATTATTGATATGATTTGTTCAGTAAGACATAAAGTATTTTTATAATACTGCACACTTTTACAGTGACCAAAATCATTGTTTTCAAAGTGATCACAATCACTGTATCCTGATCACTGTATCCTGTCTTGCAATTCTAAGCACCTGCTACTTATGATCTTTGTGACCTTTCTAAAGAGCATATATATTTTAACTTGTATCTTTCTTGTAGACCCGTTCATCCACTATGCATTTCATTTATTAATATTCATTTTACTTATTGTGACATTTATCATAAACATGTCTGCTACAAAATATGAATGAATCTTTATTTTAAGGAAAGAAAGCTATTGCGATGTATTTAAAATTTTATTTGGTATGTAGACTTCTATTAACATGCACATCTGTGCTGACTGTGCAGACTTAATACTGTAAGCTGCTAAATTTTTATGCTTAGATATTGAAATTCCTTAATTCTTTTCACACAATATATCTTAAATAGACTTGCCCATTTTTCAATATGGATAGAACCATTCATCATTTTAGGAAAAATTTCAAAATAAGTACTGACTGAAAAGGGAACAGTGCAGACCATGATCAGAATGCAACCAATGTGCTGAATCTGTGCCAACTGGTCTTGATCTGCAATGGTCCCATGGTATATGCAATTGCTGCCGCCAAATTCAGCAGTGTTCAGGGAGAGGACACTCAAAAGCTATTATAGCTTTCTGTCCAATCCCAAAATGTATTGTGTAAATGTTATTCATCATACATAATGTAAATACATTAAGTTAAAATGTTTCAACCTTAGTCAAGTTTAGTTGTAATAACAAAATTTACACTGACCCTATAAGGCATCTTCAAACCGATCTCAACATACAAGTACAATATCTACCAGTAATAATCATAAACTTACAGTATAGATGTTGATATCTACAGGTTGACGGAATGGTTCGGAGTCCTCGCATTGTACAATGGTCTCAAGAAGTTTCTTACATTCTACTTTCCAGCCATCCGGATTCAAACCTAGAACTGATAGCCGATGCTTCCGTGACCCACTGGCAGACTTGGCAGCTGGCTCATTCTAAAATGTCATTGGATAAAGAAATAAAATTGGGCGAAATTTGTTTGTATCTATGTCTGCTACAATTCTTCAGGAAACAGTCATTGATATGCAATAAATAGCTTTCTTCTGAATATAAGAGCTGTCTACAGGACAGTATGCTTGACTAGAGCAGGTCTCTGAAAAGTCACATGATACGAAAATGTTACTGAAAATTCTAAGCCCAAAAAGAAGCATAATTTTGTTAAAATCAATGAGACTTTACTTTTCTTTCAAAGCAATACCTAAGATATTCATAGTCAATTAGCAAGTCTTTTTGTCTAAGTCATCTGTTAATGCCAATGACCAATAAAACTTTCCTTATGCAGATAGATAATATTACATCATTAATTAACTTAAATAAATTTGACCTAATTATTCATAGTATTTCCCACAGATTTAAAACAAACAAAAAAATGTTCTGGTGAACTGTCCTTTTTTTGAAATCTTTGATGAATCTGGAACATTTGTAACAAGGGAATCCATGGATATTTGCAGACCAGGGAATGGGAGACATCTGCATCCCTGGGAATTTGGGACATTTTCCTACAAGGGAATCAGGGACATTTGCAACCCTGGGAATTTGGGACATTTTCCCATGAGGGAATCACAGACATATATCACCCTAGGAATCAGGAACATTTGCAACCTGCGAATTTGGGACATTTTCCAGCGAGGGGATCAGGGACATTTGCAACCCTAGGAATTTAAGACATTTTCCACTGGCAGAATCAGGAACATTTGCAACCTGAGGAATCCAGGATATTTGCCACAAGAATGCTGTCAGACCAGACTCTATACTATAGTCTGCTCAATTTTGAAAATTGCTACACCCAAAATCCCTGAAAATACTAATGGACTATTCCCAATTTAAAACAAGAAAAGTCTTTTTTACAAATTCAGCAGAACAAAGTTGAATCAAACATACTGATTTTTTCTTGCTGGTAGAGGTACCCGGAGTATCATAATCTTCTGTCTCCTCACCGCTGTCCTCGGAATCTGAGCTCAACTGTATATTACGACCATGAACCATCTTGTTTATCATACGACATGCATCTGTACTGTTCCTGTCACTATTACAACAATAAATGTCTCATATTAAGTGGCGGCATGGCCGAATGGTTAACACCTTGGACTAGTAATCTAATGATCGCTAGCCACATGGGTTCAAACCCCATCAGGGCCAGGTCCTAGTTTCCTTGAGCAAGAAACTTTACACTTGATGCTCAGTACTGGTTGGTTCAAGGAACGGATTTGAAAGTGTGTCTATAAGCTTCAAGCTTCCTACACAATCGAACTAAAATAAAATCTGTATAAACCAAAAGTCTCATATAAAACTACATTACTTCTATACAACAAATCATAACAAAAACTGATTGTTTCTTTTGTTTGTTAAGCATGATAGAATTCATATTAAACAAATTTTTGCCCCCAAAATATGATTGTTTCAATGTTTATCTTTTTTCATAAAATTATAATTTGAAAAATAACAAAAAAAGCAGGTACATGACAAGCCCTATATCTAAGTTTAGGTTTCCATGTTTGACACTAGTCCTGATCAACCCCCAGGCACACATTATTTCAGATGTAGAAAATATCTTTTGGAGCAAGCTGATTAAACCTCGACCTGCTAAATATTCTAAATGGACACAATCTCGACAAAATCATTCATCATTTCAAAATTTTCAATACATACTGACTGAATATCAAACAGTGCAAACCATGATCAGACGGCATCAATATGCCAGCTTATCTTGGTCTGCACTGTTTGCAAAGGTTAAGTATATTGCCACCAGCAGGCAAATGGTTAATCAAAATTGAAAGATATAAAATATTTACCCAATAAAATTGAGCAAAGCATCACACAATATCTGAGCACTCTTTACTATCTGTGATTTCGGCTCGTTGAACTTCTTGGCATTAGATTCAATATATCTCAGATCAAACTGTAAAGCTGTAACCCTCCTGTAACAATAACACAAGAATATTTTTTATATATCACTTTTTAACTGAACACAAGAAAATGAGATGTTTTTTGGTATGCATGTATAGTGTAACTTCTGAAAACCGAACACCTGTGGGACTTGCCAAAAAGTTCGGAATTTGGAAGTTTCCAGAATTCAGAAGTTGGTAATTTCGGGGCCCTGAAAAAGTTCGGATTTCAGAAGTTCCGGAATTCGGAAGTTACACTGTAGAAGCATATCCTGGCCTTTTTTCCTTATAAATAGTTGCTACCGACCATTCCCAATACTGACTTCCAAATTGGTAGCATAAAATTGTGAAATGTCAACCTGTCTTTTACAAGATATTTTCAATCAAACAGAATCCCCTAGCATTACTTATACAATAAAATATTAATACAAAAGCTTTAGATAGCATCAAACGATCTACATTTTAATTAATTTTCTGTTCAGCATTTACTCTACATCTCCCAATTTAAACTTTTTACAATGCTTTTTTCTAATACAATTAGTTAGGCCAGGACTTGGCCTAAAACAATGAGCTCAAAATAATTATTAGTCAGTCATGACCTGAACCACTCAGGTAAGGAGGCCCCTGAATTACATGTAAGCAATATGGATGACACTAATAGAAGGAAATGAAAGAAAAAGAATGTAATCAATAATAAATTCCCCTAACAGGTGTTGCTGTATCAAGGTTATACTGTACCTATAAAATCTGTTCTCCAGACGACGTTTAATGGTGTTCAGATCCATAGGATACTCTATAGACATGGCATAACTAGGGAACACGTTTATATCCACTGGTGTTAGAAAAGGTTCTGCTATGGAATGTTCCATCACCTGTAAACAAATTCAAATTTTAATAAATATATTTTTCTTTCTGTGTTTATGTACATCTCATATATAAAACAAGATTGCATTTGTAAAAAATGCCATGCCACCGCATAAATACAACACTAAATAGTAATGAAGGAACGCAATTTTTTTTGCTTCTATACAGATTGCCATAATGCATAGATCACTTACCTACATGTATCTGTTATTATCAGATTAGTACCTTCAGACAATATGATTTTTAATTTTTTACTTTATGACATAGTGACTGAAAATCATGATCCCCAGGGGCAGGGCCAATTTTGACCCCAGGGCTTTAATTTGAATAATCTTGCTAGAGGTTCACTACACAATGTTTAATGCAAAATGTCTCACCTCTAGCCTTTGTCAATTCGAGAAGATGATTTTTTAAAGTTTTTACTATATACATGTATGTAATGACTCCCGGGGCGGGGCTAGTTTTGACACTAGAGGCAAAATTTGAACAACTTTGGTAGAGTACCTATAGATGATATCATATACCAAATATCAAAGCTCTAAGCCTTGTACCTTCAGATAATAAGATTTTTTTACTAATTGTACATAGTGAAAATCAATGACCCCAAGGGGTGGGGCCAATTTCGACCCGAGGGCTATAATTTGTATTATCTTGCTAGAGGTTCACTTCACAATGCCTTATGCAAAATATCCAACCTCTAGCCTTTGTCAATTTAGAGAAGATGATTTTTTAAGTTTTTACTATAATACATATGAGGAAAACCTATGACCCCCGGGGCAGGGATAATTTTGACACTACAGGCAAAATTTGAACAAATTTGGTAGACTACCTATAGATGATATCATAAAACAAATATTAAAGCTCTAAGCCTTGTACCTTCAGACAATAAGATTTTTTTATTTTTTACTATATGTACATATTGAAAATCAATGACCCCCGAGGCGGGGCCAATTTCGACCCCAGGGCTATAATTTGTACAATCTTGCCAAAGGTTCACTACACAATGTTTCATGCAAAATATCTAACCTCTAGCCTTTGTGAATTTAAAAAAGATGATTTTTTAAGTTTTTACTATAGACATATAAGAAAAACCTATGACCCCCGGGGTGGGGCTGATTTTGACACTAGAGGCAAAATTTGAACAACTTTGGTAGAGTACCTATAGATAGTAACACATACCAAATATCAAACCTCTAAGCCTGGTACCTTCAGACAAGAAGGTATTTTAAGTTTTTACTATATGTACATATAGTGAAAATCAATGACCCCCGGGACGGGGCCGATTTGGACCCCAGGGCTATAATTTGAACAATCTTGGTAGGCGTCTACCAGACAATGCCTTATGCAAAATATCTAAGCTCTAGGCCTTTTGGGTCTTTACAAGAAGATTTTTTAAATTTATTCTTATAACTCCTTTTGGTTGCCATGGCAACCAGATTTCTGCATGGAATGAAATTCTTTGAACAACTTTGGAAGCCCTTCACCCAAGGATCAATCCTGCCAAGTTTGGTTGAAATTGGACTGGTGGTTTTTCACAAGAAGATTTTTTTAAGTTCACTATATAATCTATATAACACACACACACACAAACAAACACACACACACACACAGGTGAATCGCTATATGCCACCGCATCGCAGATGCTGCGGTGGCATAAAAAAAATAGTTCTATTTGCAAAACCTAAAGGTTCTAAAACTGTAATTCCAAATGAAGTCGAAATTTATCACAACCTTGTAAATTTGCAAAATAAAATTACCTTCTTTAGAATTTGTAAATATATGTAGTGACTTGACTGTTCATTCAAGTAATTTCTACATCAAAATACTAAAATTGTGCCAACAATCTGGTTCTATTGCAGGTATTTACAGTCTCACCTGATATTATATAGGTGGCATGGTCTGTTAACCTTTAACTTTCTATATTGTGTAACGGATTTTTCTTGCATAGCAGACTGGCGTTACCGTGAGTTTTACCCATGCCGGAAATGTCATCTGGCATGGGGGGTGCCAGATGAGTCGCGTGCCAAACAACAACGTCATTTTAGCGCACTTTATGAATGAACCGCGTTAAAATGACGTCGTTTTAGAAGGGAAATATGTGCTTTGGATGACGTCATTTCGCCGTTGTTATTTAAGTTGTAAGTTCATACGCTATTATAAGAAAATAGTTATGGAGGAAATGACTTTATTTTCCATGAACATATATCATATTGAGGGAAACCATTTTAAATATAAAATAATATGGCAGAATATGCAAGAAAAAATATCTGACATATGTTTGTGGTTCGGATAGGAATATCCGTCCCTCGGGGACCCGCCCATACCTCGGGACGGATATTCCGGTCTGAACCGCAACATATGACAGATATTATTAGTCCAGCTTTAAATCTGTTACAGTCTAATCCCAAGTTTTAGGGATCTTAATATCAAAGTAAAACAAGAGCTGTTGGTAGGACTGTGTCCTCAACTATTATCAATGCCTGATAGTGAAAACAAGAGTATGGATAATGTTGAATTTTAAAGTTCAAAACAGGCCATAATTCTGTCAAAAACATGTGAGAGTTATGGGCCTTGGATAGTGACCTACTATTATACACTGACATAAGTGTGTAAAGTTTCAACCTATTTCCTTCTATAGTTTTGGAAATATCAACTTGAACTCAAAAACTTAACCAAAGTGTGAAGGCAACGGCAATGCAGATGTCTGGTTGAGTACAATAGCTCTTCTAATTCTTCGAATAGTCAAGCTAAAAAGTTAAGCTGCAAAACAATATAGAGCCTAATCTGACCAAATAGATGTGGCAAAGGCTAATCATTTTTGATTCTTGCAACTCAGATTGGTGTTTCCTTTAGTTTTACCCATGTTGGAAATTTCATTAAGTGGTTAGGATGACGTAATTTCGCAGTTGTGAATGATGTTGTAACTTCATACGCTGTTGTAACAAAATAGTTACAAGTGTAATGGCATAAATTTCCATGGAAATTTGTCTTATTAAGGTAAAGAATTTAAATATGATGCAATATGGTAGAATATGCAAGAAAAAATATCTGACATGTTTGCGGTTCGGATCGGTATATCCGTCTCTTAGGGAACCCGCCCATTCAGGACGATTATTCTGATCTGAACCCTGTTACACTGCAGCATATGACGGACATTATTATTGGAGGTTAAAGGTTAATATATGTAAGTTACCTGATCCCAGCCGTGAACTATTCTATCACACTCTTCCTCTATATCACCACCAGGCCACTCGCCAGATTTCGGTTTGTACATGAATGACTTCCTCTCCTCCGCAGTAATTTTAATACTACCATTCAATTCACGAGGTTTTCCTACAGTGAAATGTTATCAAATAGTTAAAAGAAAGTCTGACATTATCAAAGTTTACAATGTAGAATTTCAGGGGAAAAAAAGGACATTTTTTTATAACTTATTTTTATGGCGCCCTGTCAAGAACTAACATCCATATTTTGTAATATGGCTATTACATACTAAAGAAGCAACAAAATTACATAGAATTAACGTATCTTACTAAAAAAAATTTTAAGGAAAAGGGTAACATTAGGACATTCAGACAAATTATTAAAAGAAAACAATAAAACTAGAACTCCGCGAGTCGGATGTGTCGCCTTGTGAACAATATAGTTTAGGAGAAATGGCCAGGACAAAAATGATATTTGAAAATCAACAAAGGGGCAATAGCTCAAAAAATAAGAAATGCAGAGCAGCAGTTTCTGTGCATTGCACTTCTTATCAATAAGATCTATCATCCTACTAAGTTTCAAGTCTAAAGCTTTTATAATTTATGAGAAATGGCCTGGACAAAAATAAAGTTTGAAAATTAACAAGGGCAATAACTCAAAAAATAAGAAATGCAGAGTACCAGTTCTTGAGCACTGCACTTCTTCTTAATGAGATCTATCATCCTATGAAGTTTCATGTCCATAGCTTTTATACTTAAGGAGAAATGGCCTGGACAATAATAAAGTATGAAAATAAACAAAGGGCAATAACTCAAAAAATAAGAAATGCAGAGTACCAGTTCTTGTGCACTGCACTTCTCCTTAATGAGATCTATCATCCTATGAAGTTTCAAGTCCATAGCTTTTATACTTTAGGAGAAATGGCCCGGACAAAAATAAAGTATGAAAATTAACAAAGGGCAATAACTCAAAAAATAAGAAATGCAGAGTACCGGTTCTTGTGCACTGCACTTCTTCTTAATGAGATCTATCATCCTATGAAGTTTCAAGTCCATAGCTTTTATACTTTAGGAGAAATGGCCTGGACAAAAATAAAGTATGAAAATTAACAAAGGGCAATAACTCAAAAAATAAGAAATGCAGAGTACCAGTTCTTGTGCACTGCACTTCTTCCTAATGAGATCTATCATCCTATGAAGTTTCAAGTCCATAGATTTGATACTTTAGGAGAAATGGCCTGGACAAAAATAAAGTATGAAAATTAACAAAGGGGAATAACTAAAAAAATAAGGAGTGCAGAGTACCGGTTCTTGTGCACTGCACTTCGGGTCATTGTAAGAAGCATGCAAACCAAGTTTGAAGTCAATCCGACTTATAATGACTGACTTATGCTCCAGACAAGCTTAAGGGGACGCCGACGCCGACACAGCCGACAAAAGTAACCCCTATATGTCGCCTTTTTCAAAACTACACAAAAACAAAATAAAAACAACACAAAAACAACACAAAAACAACATAAAAGCAACACAAAATCAACACAGAAACAAACGAGAAACAATACATCAACACAAAAGATTTTCAACATTTAAGATTAGGAAAATAAAATGTTTTACCAATTGTCTTCATACAAAATACATACTTTATAGAAACAATATTCTGCTGCATTTTTATAAACAACAACATTTAATGAAGTGGTAGCAAAAGTTTAAAGATATCTTTCCATCCTGGCACCGAGTTTAAGGCCCATGATGATTTTCTAACCATGTTTAGTTAGGTTTATACTGATTTCAATTAAGTTTGATTGTGAACGAAGATATAAGCTTATGGACACACTCTTGAATCCATTCCTGGAACCAACCAGTACTGAGTAATGAATATAAACAATTTCTGCTTGTATAACTTCAGTGTCTTGGTACATCTTAGGTGCACGCTTGAAAGACATTAAATTAAAAGACAGATTTTACTACTTTAAAATACTCTAGTTAAAACAAATTTAAATCAAGAACAAAACCAACATAAACAAACACAAAATCAACAGTATATTGTAATAACAGGGTGGTGATTACTCTAGATTCAAACCTGGCATTGAGGTTTTTATCTAATTTTAATTCTAATTTTAATTTCGGTGTTTGTTGCTCTTCAAATTTGGAATAACCCATTCAAAGGGATTCAAAGGGATTTCAATATCAAAATACAAGAAATCACTGTACTTCATCACAAGAAAGAATCAAATGTCATGTGCATATAAAGAGCTACCAACAGTATAGAGCCTGGTCAGACAGCACAGATGTGCAGGATGGCCTAGCTCAATATTTGTGGCGAAGACTTTTGACTTTTAGTACCAGCAGGTTGAGAATTAATGTTATTCCAACCCTTATTAAAGATCAACATATAAACAAAACATTTTAACAAGTAACACAGTCTGACCAATGGCTTTCAATGTACAAGTGTCTCCACAGTTAAGTCGCTTAAGGTCAACTTTAATTTTCTTTTTGACCTTGAGCTCACTGCATGCTTTGACCATGACCTCCTTATAAAGGTCACTTATGCCAGTTTTCTTTTCCTTGTTGTGATTAAAGAGCTTGATACAATCGGCAATGAAATCCTTAATTTTGGCATGCATAGAGTCGGGGTTTAACTCTACAGTTTCTATATCAAAGATAAACAAACATACACACAAATAAACATGTAAAGCAAGACATAGAGATTTTGTAGAAGTCATATGTTGTCAGAAATGTAAAGTGTAGAATAACGTAAGAAAATTTTGTACAAGTTGTGTAGTATTAGTAATTAATGTAAAATTGCTTCAGTTGGAACAAAAACAAGTAAAACTGAATTTGATGGATAAAAAATAATCTTTATGCAAATGTGTCATTAAATGAATGAAAGATTGAACAGAAGAATATGAAAACAAATGAATGAATGAATACGAGTGAATAAATGGATGATGAACAAAAAAATGTTGTGTTTTTTTTTCACTTCACTTCAAGTGGTTTGGCAGGGTCCATAGAGAGGTGAAAATTGTGTGGCAGAAAGGAAAGGGAAAATTCAAAAATTGATAAAGGAAAGGGAAAATTCAAAAATTGATAAAGATTCTTCCATACCAGACAGGATTGATAAAGATTCTTCCATTCCAAACAGAATGGATAAAGATTCTTCCATACCAAACAGGATGGATAAAGATTCTTCCATACCAAACAGGATGGATAAAGATTCTTCCATACCAAACAGGATGGATAAAGATTCTTCCATACCAAACAGGATGGATAAAGATTCTTCCATACCAAACATAATGGATAAAGATTCTTCCATACCAAACAGAATGGATAAAGATTCTTCCATACCAAACAGGATGGATAAAGATTCTTCCATACCAAACATAATGGATAAAGATTCTTCCATACCAAACATAATGGATTAAGATTCTTCCATACCAAACAGGATGGATAAAGATTTTTCAATACCAAACATAATGGATAAAGATTCTTCAATACCAAACATAATGGATAAAGATTCTTCCATACCAGAAATGATGGATAAAGATTCTTCCATACCAAACAGGATGGATAAAGATTCTTCCATACCAAACAGAATGGATAAAGATTCTTCCATACCAAACAGGATGGATAAAGCTTCTTCCATACCAAACAGGATGGATAAAGATTCTTCCATACCAAACAGAATGGACAAAGATTCTTCCATACCAAACAGAATGGATAAAGATTCTTCAATACCAGACAGGATAAGACATGTAAGACTGTAAAGGCAAAAGCAAAGTAAAAGCAAGGGATACATTTTCACAGTGGACAAACAGGCATGCAAGAAAAATGATTGAATGATGGAGATGAAATGTGAAAAAGAAGATAAAGGGATATGATACTTACTTAACCAACTATCAGTAAATGGTTCCATATCCCAGGGGCTCAGGTTCTCTTTCTCAGAATTGTCCCATCTAAAACAAAAATATAATTTTGTTTTTTAAATGATATACGTTTTGACGATTTGACTATGTTCATTAAATAATGGAAGTCCTAATTTGAATTCAACCTACACAAAGAATGCATGTGTATCTGATGACATAGCTACTATTTCAATAGTGAGTTTGTTTGTCTGGTTTTTAACATAAATTTGGTAGTATCTTGGGACATTGGCCCACCTCACAAGAATTCCAGGATAACTAACTAGAAAGTAATAATTTTCTCCACAAGTGACCGACTCATAATCCCACCAGATTTCTGAATCAGCAGTCAGAGACAATTGACCATTAGCCTCTATGTCCTAGATCAACTGTCACAAAGATTTTTTGCTTCGCCCAAGAATCAAACCACCAATCCTTTGTAATAAATCATATTCTCTTCATATTGATTTAAGCAGGCGGACGTTTTTGCTTAAAGGAACTCCACTGTGGTAAAAAAAGCCTAAAAAATTAAACAAAATTTGAATTTTTTACATAAATCAACTTGGGCACTTAAAATTTTACATAAATCAACTTAAAAGGAAAAGATATGCAAAAGATGTTTAAGAAATATACTCAGAAATAAATAGAAATCGTATTTTTGTGTTATTCTTACATTGTATATTCTAATTAGCCCAATATGAGCGAAAAGTGTTGAAATGCTTTTCAAAATGTTTGTCATTTTACACAATTAGAATAATTAATCTGGCAAAAGGGAGTGAGCGAATGATTTGAAATTTTGCACACAAGTTATTGGTCTAGACCTACATTAAACAGAACATTAATCTCAAAAATTTATTTCCAGTCACGTCATTTCAAAAAAATGCCAGTGGAGTCCCTTTAAAGCTACATTAAATGAATTTCTTAAAAACAGAAATAGCGACATTTCATTAGTAAATTTGGTTTCATATCGACTCCAGATCTTATAATGGTGCAAAGGCAACCAAAATGAGTTTTATAAGCATAAACATCTGCAGCCTCATTGTGGCGAAATCGGAATTTGCATGTGAAACTCCGCCTTCGGGTCACCCGTACATCAATATTAAATCAGCATGCATGGTTATAAGTAGCAGCCCTAATATAACGGTATATTTACGCTTTGTAACGGTTGTATTCATACAAATTTAAAATATTTATGAGATGATTACCCTTTCCTGAACGCCATGCCAAGTGCACCGTGAAGCTAAAACGGTTAAAGTGTGTATGCACATGAAAATCTCGTATTTGCTGTGTTCTGTATAGCAACTATAACACTGTGACGTAGCACATACATGAACTGATTATAGTCTTCATTTGCATGTTAAAATTCGTATACGAACTTTAGTGTTACCGTGGGGTTTTCCGTTTAAAATCGTAATTTATGAACAATATTTGATGAGATTTACAACAATACTGGTAAAAAGGTTAACTAGAAATGTGTCATCATGCCACGGATGCCCCCGCATGCAGCCAAAATTTCAGATGGTGCATTAATTATTTTTTTCATTTTAAGTTCAAAGCCCTTAAAACTATACAATGTTAACACAAACCATTTTCATACAATGTTCAAGGCACTGAAATTATTCAGTCTTAACCTTTTAAAAATAGCATATTGCATATTTGTAGCCAAAATTGTGGCTAAAAGTATGAGTGCTGAAACTGAAAGTTCAAAATTTTTCCAACATTCAGGAAAGATAAGTGTCTAAAATCATTGAACCACGACCAAATTCAAACTTAAACTGCTTATTCCTAAGATGTATCTATATTATTTTCAAAGTGAAAGGGACATAACTCTGCCAAAAAATCATCAAACCATGACCAAATTCCAACTTGACCTGCCCATTCCTTTGACATATCCATATGTCAAATTTGAGTTAAATGTGTTGTACCATTGGGGAGATAATAAATGGAAACTGAAAATTTCATATTACTTTCAAAGTGAAAGGGGCATAACTCTGCCAAAAATCATTAAACCATGACCAAATTTGAACTTGACCTGCGCATGCCTTTGACGCATCCATATGTCAACTTTTGAGTTGAATGTGTTGTACCATTGGGGAGATAATGAACAGAAACTAAAAATTTCATATTGTTTTCAAAGTAAAAGGGGCATAACTCTGCCAAAAATCATCGAACCATGACCAAATTCAAACTTGACCTGTATTTTTTCATGACATATCCATATGTCAAGTTTGAGTTGAATGGGTTGTACCTTTGGGGAGATAATGAACGGAAACTGAAAATTTCATATTATTTTCAAAGTAAAAGGGGCATAACTCTGCCAAAAATCATCGAACCATGAACAAATTCAAACTTGACCTGTATTTTTTCATGACATATCCATATGTCAAGTTTGAGTTGAATGGGTTGTACCTTTGGGGAGATAATGAACGGAAACTGAAAATTTCATATTATTTTCAAAGTAAAAGGGGCATAACTCTGCCAAAAATCATCGAACCATGACCAAATTCGAACTTGACCTGTATTTTCTCATGACATATCCATATGTCAAGTTTGAGTTGAATGTGTTGTACCGTTGGGGAGATAATGAACGGAAACTGAAAATTTCATATTATTTTCAAAGTAAAAGGGGCATAACTCTGCCAAAAATCATCGAACCATGACCAAATTCAAACTTGACCTGTATTTTCTCATGACATATCCATATGTCAAATTTGAGTTGAATGTGTGCAACCGTTCTTAAGATAATGAACGGAAACTGATGATGACGGAATGACAGAATGACGAAAGGACGGAAGGATGGAAGGACGGAACAGGGAAACACTATATGCCCCGGCCATTACATGGCGGGGGCATAATAAAACAGTAGAATGCTTGGTTATTAGGCCGACCGCAAAATATTTTTACATATTTATTTAATGTAACTTTAACAAGAGAACTTTGAATCATTCTGTAGGCCTGAATGGAAAGGATGTGTCTTAATGTTATTACATGCCCATTTATCATTATAGCTTATAAGTACCTGACTTTGAAGCACTGGAACATACAGTCTGGGTATTCTTTCTGGTATGGAATCTGAGCCTCTATAACACCTATCCACCATGAGTCATCTATCACTGAACGGAATCTGTCACCTGAAAATAATAAAAATATGGATAGAATATATATTATCAAATTTCTATTTCAATCAATATTGACAACAAAAATTACCTTCAACTAAAGCAGCGTGGCTTCAGACTCATGCTAATTTCGTATTAAAAATTTGAATATGTGTTTCAAAGTAAAACATTGTAAAGTGAACAAAGAAAGTTATTTACACATTGCAAAAGCCAATTACAATCAATGTAAATAACCAAAATGAGGTTAAAATATGCAAAAATAGCCCTTTACTGCATTAGTTAATATTATCACTTTTCTTAAAATCTTAGTACATTCTTCTTAAGTTTGATTTTCTTGAAATAATTTGGCCCATCGGGAGGCATGCAGCTTTAATAATTTCCGTAAGAAATTCATGTAATGGACATGACCTGTTTTAAATGATGAACCTAGAGCAGTCTAACATTACATTATACAGATTTTTAAATCAAGTTACTAAGTACTTATATATAATCATATTTATGTTCTTGTATATGACCAAAGGAAGTTGATTATGCTACTTATGCTGATAAAATTGAAACAAAAAGCAAAAAAAAAACATCATTCCCAGTAAGGAAATAAATGCATTAAAATTTTAATACAAAAATAATTCTTATGCCTGACCTGGTTTCCAGTTTCTAGACATGGCAATGTCATAGTTTTGTTTGAGCACTAGAAAATCCACCACATCTGGCATGTCATGGTATCTGAAATATAGAAATTAAATATACCATTTAAAGAAATTTATTTCCTTCAATTCATAGAGAATACCACACACCTGATTTAACCACACACCTCCCTTCTTTCTATGAAACATAAAATCTTTAATTCTATGTCACTTCCATAAACTTACTTTTTCATCATTATTAACACTAAGAAATTTGCGAAAACAAATATATGCTTTATGTCTTCCAAATTGACGGCCATCTTGGAAGCCATGATGGATTTCTTATCTTCACATCTGTGCTAAATAATTATCAGAATTTCAGAAACTACAGATTGCAATTAACATGTTGGTATATGGAACTTACTGTTGGCATACAAATACCAGTCTAGGGATATTCAATTGTTTGTCCTATTATGTATATTAATTTTAAGGCCCATTTAGCCTCATAGATGAATGATTTCATCTTTTTGTAAAAAGAACAAACATGTGGTTTTTAGTATGTAATAATGAATTTAGTTCATGCTAGTATAATAATGGATTTTGTTTTTGTTTTGTTTGATTGGGTTTAATGTCACATCGACACAGTATAGGTCATATCGCGACGTTCCAGCTTTAATGGTGGAGGAAGACCTCAGGTGCCCCTCCGTGCATTACAGGCACCTTAGTAGAACCACCGATGTTCTGTAAGCTAGCTGGATAGCTTCCTCACATGAAAGAATTCAAAGCCCCTTAGATAATGTTGTAATAATGGATTTAGACCATGTTGTGGTAATCATGGATTTAGATCATGTTGTTGTAATAATGGATTTAGATCATGTAGTTAAAATGGATTAAGATCATGTTGTGGTAATAATGGATTTAAATCATGTTGTTGTAATAATGGATTTAAATCATGTTGTGGTAATAATGGATTTAGATCATGTTGTTGTAATAATGGATTTAAATCATGTTGTGATAATAATGGACTTAGATCATGTTGTGGTAATAATGGATTTAAATCATGTTGTGGTAATAATGGATTTAGATCATGTTGTGGTAATAATGGATTTAAATCATGTTGTGGTAATAATGGATTTAGATCATATTGTGGTAATAATGGATTTAAATCATGTTGTGGTAAAAATGGATTTAGATCATGTTGTGGTAATAATGGATTTAAATCATGTTGTGGTAATAATGGATTTAGATCATATTGTGGTAATAATGGATTTAAATCATGTTGTTGTAATAATGGATTTAAATCATGTTGTGGTGATAATGGATTTAGATCATGTTGTTGTAATAATGGATTTAAATCATGTTGTGATAATAATGGATTTAGATCATGTTGTGGTAAAAATGGATTTAGATCATGTTGTGGTAATAATGGATTTAAATCATGTTGTGGTAATAATGGATTTAGATCATGTTGTTGTAATAATGGATTTAGATCATGTTGTGGTAATCATGGATTTAGATCATATTGTGGTAATAATGGTTTTAGATCATGTTGTTGTAATAATGGATTTAGATCATGTTGTTGTAATAATGGATTTAGATCATGTTGTGGTAATAATGGATTTAGATCATGTTGTTGTAATAATGGACTTAGATCATGTTGTGGTAATAATGGATTTAGATCATGTTGTTGTAATAATGGATTTAGATCATGTTGTGGTAATAATGGATTTAAATCATGTTGTGGTAATAATGGATTTAAATCATGTTGTGGTAATAATGGATTTAGATCATATTGTGGTAATAATGGATTTAGATCATATTGTGGTAATAATGGATTTAAATCATGTTGTTGTAATAATGGATTTAAATCATGTTGTGGGTAATAATGGATTTAGATCATGTTGTGGTAATAATGGATTTAAATCATGTTGTGGTAATAATGGATTTAGATCATGTTGTTGTAATAATGGATTTAAATCATGTTGTGATAATAATGGACTTAGATCATGTTGTGGTAATAATGGATTTAAATCATGTTGTGGTAATAATGGATTTAGATCATGTTGCGGTAATAATGGATTTAAATCATGTTGTGGTAATAATGGATTTAGATCATGTTGTGGGTAATAATGGATTTAGATCATGTTGTGGTAATAATGGATTTAAATCATGTTGTCGTAAAAATGGATTTAGATCATGTTGTGGTAATAATGGATTTAAATCATGTTGTGGTAAAAATGGATTTAGATCATGTTGTGGTAAAAATGGATTTAGATCATGTTGTGGTAATAATGGATTCAAATCATGTTGTGGGTAATAATGGATTTAGATCATGTTGTCGTAATTTTGATATAGAACATGTTGATGTAATAATGGATCTAGATCATTTTGTTGTAATAATGGATTAGGATCATGGAAGTTGCTTATCAAATAAAATAGCATTGAATGTTTAACAAGTTGTCTTTAAGTAGCACAACGTAAACAAAAGCCTATTTTGACTTCCATACAAAACACTAAATCACTTTAATTATACTTGACGCCAAAAGATGCCTTAGTTTTATGGCCAATGAGTTACTTTTTTGAAAATTGTAACAGAACACCAAAAAATAAAATGCTTTTAAATAATTAAAATATTAGCATTTTTGAGACTTAATGGGTCTTTTAAGTTATTAAACATCACGATGAAACAGCTACTCACTTTATACTGAAAGATCCGCCCGTATTTTTCAAGGTAGATGGGTCAATGTAGTTGAGTTTCAGACAACATAATCGTACACCACATTTCAACATCTCGTACCTTATACCAACTATCCGAACCAACTCCTGCTCCTATTCCATGTAATGAAAAAAATATTTGTAACATAGGTTTATAGAATTTATTTAGAAACAGTTTTTGCAGTAAGTTCAACAAAGGTTAAAATGAGAAATATGTCCATAGGACACAAATGTCCCACATTATATTGTTTTATCAGTTATGGATGGACAGCGTGAAAGCAAGACAGACATCTCTCCAAGGTGCAAGCATACAAACAACAAAATGGCTAATTAATAAATTTTCCTTTTTTTCCATTATGTAAATCTCAAAGAACAAATAAAATGCTTCTTTCAAGAGAATTACAAAGTCTAAATATCTTACATGCACTACAATGAATCATTTCTTCGTTCATTGCTATTCAACACAAAAAAAAACCTCCCACAAAAAAACCAAAACAACTCTGTAGTTTCAAAATTCATGAAGCTATCTAAAATTTATTTTGAAACATCAGTTTTTACTGTATTTAGATACTTACCCTAAGTCTGGGATATTTATGCCACGCCTGATTTTTGTTCGGGTCTAGATGATAAACCTTACGTCTGGCAACCTCTTTCACATAAAACTCATGACCTTGACGGAAATAAATAACTTCATCGCCCATCTGCGGGAAATACGGCTGTTTACGTGGTACAACATCTGTCAGCCAATCAGGGGGACGGAATATTCTCAGCAGTTCTTGAATCTCTTCTGGTGATTTTCCGGGTAAAGCGGCTGCTTCATGGGCCGTCTGCTTTTGCTTTAAAGGTTAAAATAAAAATTTTACACACTCTTAATTCAGACAATAATCTCTCGTCATTGGTATAATGCTTTTTTAACCAGACACTAGTGGCAAAAACGGCTTACCCTATACCATAAGTATACTGCCATTGTAACCTGCACATTAATAATACTTCAAATGGATTGAAATTAACATATAATATCCCCTTGATGATTTCCACATAAACCGCTATTGCCACTCGTAAAATATTTGTCTTCATACCATCCATGAAAAATCCTGTATTTATAGCAAAAACTCAAATAACTTCTATTTATTTTACTTCGAAACCGGCAATTATTACAAACAAGTAATTTCTTTTTCAATTTTTTAAAGTTTAAACATTTTCAAATAATGTATACTATGGTACATCTATGTACCAAATAGTTTGCAATTTTGAACATACAAAAGTAAATATAAAGAAAAACAAGAGCACTGTATAACGCTTTAATGCTCCTCAGTTAAGAGCAACAACCACTTTATAAATATTCTACTTTAAAAAAGGGCATAAACCCAAAAAAATAGCTTTCAGAATAATGTCCCTTAACAAACTGTGCCTTGTCATGATAATGAAATGTTCAAAGTTTCATGTTGATACCTTCATTTAAGTGTTTAAATATTTGGTTACATTGTGACGTTTTTGCATAACAACAACAAAGCAAACATAATGCAGTTAGTTTGACTTTTTCTTCAAAACAGACAAGCTAAAAACTGGACACATTTCAATCATACATCACTCTTTTATTCTCACCTTTCCTCTTTGCTTTCTCTTCACTTTTTTTGCAGCTTGTTTATCTTGTTTCTTTGGTGCTTTGCCTCGGGGCTGACTTCCTTCTCGACTGCCAGGTGTTTGTTCACGACTCCCTCTAGGTGTCGACTCCTCATCTTCGGAAATCTCAGACGACGTGTATCGTTTACGTTTCCTCGACCTTGTTGATTTCCTTTTTGGCGGTTCGAGGTTGATGCTGGTTTCTACGCACCAATCTGAGTATTCACTGGAATCACTGATAGAAAAAAAACAACAACAGAATTTAAGTTAACATTTGCCTTATGTCCACAAAGTCAAACTGAGAATAAGGATCAACTGATAGGATTTAGATTTTTTTTTCAGTATTGCATGTTTATTCTAGTAATAACAGACTAAAATACTTAAAACTATATGTCAGCTACTGAAAAGTGAAAACATACATGAGAAAAAACTCATTATGGGATAATTTTCACACAAACATGTGCAAATTATTTTATTGAAATAATCCAACCAATGTAGAACTGTAGCTTTGGACAAACAGACATTGCCAAAATTAGATCTCTACCATAATCAAGCAGGTGATAATGAAGATTAAATACAAAAAAAAAACAACAACACTTACTCCAGGTCAAGATAAGTGTCCTCCTCCCACATATCAGAACCTATTTCATCTTCTACCTGCAATGTAAAATCATCATTTCTACAAGTACATTTGTCTATACAAATTTTCTAGTGTTTTAGAAAACCTTTATCAAATCTTTGGTGTTAAGAATTAATAGTTTGTTTACAGGATCATCAAAGATCATAAAATCAATCATTTGATGCAGGTAGCTAACTTAAATATAACTAAACTATTCTATAAAAAAATATCATAAATCAATGACCAGATTATATTTTAAGAACAGGACAAAACCTATTGTTTAATACTTATTATAGTAATCAAATGGTTTCAGTCAACAACATTGATTACATGGAATCCCTTGACCTGTTATCACTTAGGGTTATATCTTATATATTTTGTCAGGGAGATGTTCAATGTCAATAAAGTCCACTGTCAGAAACCAGTTGAATTCATTGTCCAATGGGAATTAAGTGGGGGTGGAGCCTTACAGCAGGGTTAGAATTTAGCAAGATTTTCTACTTGCAGATTTTTGCAAGTGATAAAATGTTTAACTGGCAATATGAGGTAGTCAACTGGCATTTCCATGATCACGTATCTTATTATTATTATTATTACTATACACAATGACAATGTATTTGAACATCTGGTATGACAAATGATAATAAGCTTGAATGTCTATTGAATATCAGAAACATCTTTATCACTGGTAAACACAAATGTCTTCTTAGGACTTTCATTATTTTTAGCATATTTTGTACTTGATTACACCAACAGCCTGAAAACTCAGAGGTACTGATCTACTTTAAATAAATATTTCAGCTTAAAATTAAACACTACAGAGGAGTGCTATGCATTTACATTGGACCCTGATAAAACATCTTGGATGCTCTAACCAATAGTGTTTGGCTGTTATAAAACCTACAGGTTTAAAGTCAAACAACTTTCACTGTCACATATCTGTTGTCATTTAAATTCACTGTCAAATACCATTTGATTCCACTGTCTAATGTCTAATAAGTTCACTGTCAGAAAAGAGTTCACTCCATGCCAGCGGTCAGTTAAGTTCACTGTCCAGTGTCTGTTCACTTAACTGTCGGACCTCAAACTTAATATACTGTCAGATAATAAGTTATCTATTCATACAATCTCAAGCAGTCGTTAGCTGTATAACAGATTGACAAGGTAATAATGGTTTTACCTCTTCATCTGTATCATAAAGAGCTCGCCTTGTCAGACGATTTGTCACAGCATCCTCGTTGTCCGCTCCCGCGCGCGCAGAATATCCGCGCTTACTTGACCTCTTCTTTTTCTTGCGGGTCTGAATTCCCGTATCACTAGGTTCATCCTTTATTAAATGAAAAAAATTTAAAATAAGAATCAATAAACAAATGGTTAATATACATGTACATTATCAATATGTTGTTTTTATCCAAATTTCAGACTTACATGCTTTATAAAAAATTTTTATCAATACCAATTACATGTACAATGTATTACTTCAAAAAGCTTCATCAATATTTTACTTAGCAAATAGTAACTTTCATAAATACTGGTTACAAATATCAATACATTTTCTAAAACAGATATTTATCTATCAAATTATGTGACTTAATAAACTTTTATTCTTTGATTTCAAAATTCATTAATAATACATGATGGTCTATGAATGTAGCAGGTACATGTATATAGAAGATATTAAAATAGAAATGGTAACAAATTTTTATCATTAGTGACAAATGGTTAGACTACTATAATATGTAAATTCAGTACACATGCAAGTTTGATAATGGTTTAAAATGTTTGTGTTGCCTTTCCCTTGTGTTAATATTTAGATTTTTACTATATTTCAAACTTAAATAATAGTAATATTTTGGCCAGTTATCAACTAAACCACTGTTCCTGGACAATGCACCAGTACTTATGTGTTTTCTATTATAATGTAAAAGCTTTCCGAACCTCTGAAGAACATTGCTGAACTAAGCAGACGGGCTTGGTAAAACAAAATAGATCTGCTTGGTACATGGATATAAAAGCTACAGATGAAGTGAAATGGCTATGAAAATTACAGAAGAAGTGAAATGGCTATGAAAATTACAGAGGATGTGAAATGGTATAAAAATTACAGAAGAAGTGAAATGGCTATTAAATTACAGAAGAAGTGAAATGGCTATGAAAATTACAGAAGAAGTGAAATGGCTATAAAATTACAGAAGAAGTGAAATGGCTATGAAAATTACAGAAGAAGTGAAATGGCTATAAAATTACAGAAGTGAAATGGCTATGAAAATTACAGAGGATGTGAAATGGTATAAAAATTACAGAAGAAGTGAAATGGCTATGAAAATTACAGAGGATGTGAAATGGTATAAAAATTACAGAAGAAGTGAAATGGCTATGAAAATTACAGAGGAAATGAAATGGCAATAAAAATTACAGAGGAAATGAAATGGCAATAGAAACTAGAGGATGCTTTTGTAAAAAAGCGCATGTCTCCCCCACTGCTGAGAATAACTGTGAATGGAAACAGGAATGGAAATGGAGATAAGATAATGTAAATACCCGGTAGTCACTTCAATGAAGGCTGTCTATGGATGGTTTCTATTGTTAAGGTTGTATGAGAAGATGCTTCCTAAACTGTTTGTTTTTAACCAGGTATTCAATTTTGAAAATCCTGGTTATTCAATCAGCGTATGGCAGGCGGGCGTCAAACGAAATTGCACTTGATGGTCATATCATATATAGTTTCACAAATGAAATTAAATGAAATTGTGTCTGCTCCATAATTCTTCAAACCTTTAAAGGATTTTGATGATACTTGAAACAAACGTTCATATTGTCAGATTTTTTTACACTATTGAAAGACAACTCAAATTACAATGTATGTAAAATCATGATAACTGTAGTGTGTTGGGATGACTCCACTCGTTTTCACAATGAAGCCTCTCTGGTAGATACTTGAAACAAAAATTCACCACATCCAGAGAACGTGTAGACCAACGGTCACTGTGACCTTGACCTTTGAACTACTGACCCCAAAAACAATAGGGATCATCTGCTCAATAAGACCAATCATCCTATGAAGTTTGAGAGCTGTAGGTCAAAAGGAACTCTAGTCTTGTCCGGAAACGAAGAATGGACGGACGGACTGACGGACGGACGGACAGGGCAAAAACAATATGTCTCCCCCCAGTTTGAGGGTTGTAGGTCAAAAGGAACTCTAGTTATCATCCGGAAATGAGAAATTGACCAACGGTCACTGTGACCTTGACCTTTGACCTACTGACCCCAAAAACAATAGGGATCATCTGCTCTATAAGACCAATCATCCTATGAAGTTTGAGGGCTGTAGGTCAAAAGGAACTCTAGTTATCATCCGGAAACGAGAAATTGACCAACGGTCACTGTGACCTTGACCTTTGAACTACTGACCCCAAAAACAATAGGGATCATCTGCTCAATAAGACCAATCATCCTATGAAGTTTGAGGTCTGTAGGTCTAAAGGAACTCTAGTTATCATCCGGAAACGAGAAATTGACCAACGGTCAGTGTGACCTTGACCTTTGACCTACTGACCCCAAAAACAATAGGGATCATCAGCTCTATAAGACCAATCATCCTATGAAGTTTGAGGGCTGTAGGTCAAAAGGAACTCTAGTTATCGTCCGGAAACGAAGAATGGACGGACGGACTGACGGACTGACGGACGGACGGACGGACAGGGCAAAAACAATATGTCTCCCCCCGAGGTGGGGGAGACATAATTAAAGAGGAAGTGAAATGGCAATAGAAATTAAAGAGGAAGTGAAATGGCTATGAAAATTACAGAGGAAGTAAAATGGCAATAAAAATTACAGAAGAAGTGAAATGGCTATAAAAATTACAGAAGAAGTGAAATGGCTATAAAAATTACAGAGGAAGTGAAATGGCTATAAAAATTACAGTGGAAGTGAAATGGCTATAAAAATTACAGAGGAAATGAAATGGCTATAAAATTACAGAGGAAGTGAAATGGCTATTAAAATTACAGAGGAAGTGAAATGGCTATAAAAATTACAGTGGAAGTGAAATGGCTATAAAAATTACAGAGGATGTGAAATGGTATAAAAATTACAGAAGAAGTGAAATGGCTATAAAAATTACAGAGGAAGTGAAATAGCTATAAAATTACAGAAGAAGTGAAATGGCTATAAAGACTACAGAGGAAGTGAAATAGCTATAAAATTACAAAGGAAGTGAAATAGCTATAAAATTACAGAAGAAGTGAAGTGGCTATAAAAATTACAGAGGAAGTGAAATGGCTATAAAAATTACAGAGGAATGAAATGGCAATAAAAATTACAGAAGAAGTGAAATGGCAATAAAAATTACAGAGGAAGTAAAATAGCTATAAAAACTAGAGGATGCTTTTGTAAAAAAGCGCATGTCTCCCCCACTGCAACGGTCGCTGTGACCTTGACCTTTGACCTACTGACCATTAAAACAATAGGGATCATTTGATTAATAAGACCAATCATCCTATGAAGTTTGAGGGTTGTAGGTCAAAAGGAACTCTAGTTATCATCCGGAAATGAGAAATTGACCAACGGTCACTGTGACCTTGACCTTTGACCTACTGACCCCAAAAACAATAGGGATCATCTGCTCTATAAGACCAATCATCCTATGAAGTTTGAGGGCTGTAGGTCAAAAGGAACTCTAGTTATCATCCGGAACGAGAAATTGACCAACGGTCACTGTGACCTTGACCTTTGAACTACTGACCCCAAAAACAATAGGATCATCTGCTCAATAAGACCAATCATCCTATGAAGTTTGAGGTCTGTAGGTCTAAAGGAACTCTAGTTATCATCCGGAAACGAGAAATTGACCAACGGTCAGTGTGACCTTGACCTTTGACCTACTGACCCAAAAACAATAGGGATCATCAGCTCTATAAGACCAATCATCCTATGAAGTTTGAGGGCTGTAGGTCAAAAGGAACTCTAGTTATCATCCGGAAACGAGAAATTGACCAACGGTCACTGTGACCTTGACCTTTGAACTACTGACCCCAAAAACAATAGGGATCATCAGCTCTATAAGACCAATCATCCTATGAAGTTTGAGGGCTGTAGGTCAAAAGGAACTCTAGTTATCATCCGGAAACGAGAAATTGACCAACGGTCACTGTGACCTTGACCTTTGAACTACTGACCCCAAAAACAATAGGGATCATCTGCTCAATAAGACCATTCATCCTATGAAGTTTGAGAGCTGTAGGTCAAAAGGAACTCTAGTTATCGTCCGGAAACGAAGAATGGACGGACGGACTGACGGACTGACGGACGGACGGACTGACGGACGGACGGACAGGGCAAAAACAATATGTCTCCCCCCGAGGTGGGGGAGACATAATTACAGAGGAAATGAAATGGCAATAAAAATTACAGAGGAAATGAAATGGCAATAAAAATTACAGAGGAAGTAAAATGGCTATAAAATTACAGAGGAAGTGAAATGGCTATAAAAATTACAGAGGAAGTGAAATGGCTATAAAAATTACAGAGGAAGTAAAATGGCTATAAAAATTACAGAGGAAGTAAAATGGCTACAAAAATTAGAGAGGAAGTGAAATGGATATGATGTCTTCCCGCAAAGGAGGAACTTATATTACATGATATGTTAATACTACATGTACACAATAAACAACATGCTTGACTGATCATACTTTTATATTGTGGGCTAAGTGAACATGATCCTGATTTATTCGTGTATAAATCATGTACATGTCACACTAGGGCTATCTACAGATTACATTTATATTATATTTCTAGGAATATATAAGCCTTGTTACTATATATAGTGATTAACTACAGGTTAAACATATTATAGAACATACCGATGTATGCTTTGGTTCTACACACATGCAGAATTAGTGAACAACTACATATAACACATATAGAGTGAACCCTGTGATCATACATGCTTACAATGTAGTTAAAAACAAGGGTGACTAGATATAGATTACATATATGCTACAAGGTCTTTGAATACATATGCAATAATGTTCAACAATGGGTGACATACTACAAATTACACATATGTTGTGAGCTCTGTATTTACATATGAATTGTTACAACATAGGGTGACTAAAGAGTACACATATGCTGTGAGCCCTGTGTATACACATCCATGGTCACAATGTTGTAGGCTCTGTATTTACACATGAATTGTTACAACATAGGGTGACCATAGATAACACATATTCTGTGAACCCTGTGAATACACATAAAAAGTTACATGAATGTGTGTGAGCCCTGTGGTTTAAATATAGGGTGACTAACTACAGATTAAACATATACAGTGAGACAAACATATACAAACATGCATTGTTACAACTTTGCGTGACTAACTATAGATTACACATATGCTGTAAGGTCTGTGTGTGTACATGCATGATAACAATATAAGACGACTAACTATCAGTTACCTTATGCTTCGAAATCTGCATACAAACATGCATGGTTACAACACTCGGTGACTAACTATAGATTACACATATGCTGTAAGGTCCGTGAATACACTAGCAGTGTTACAACAGGTTACAAATATGCTGTGAGATCTATGTACACATATGCATAGTTACAACATAGGGTGACTAACTATAGATTACATATTTGCTGTGAGTTCCGTGTACACATATGCATAGTTACAACATAGGGTGACTAACTATAGATTACACATATGCTGTGAGCTCCGTGTACACACATGCATTGTTACAACATAGGGTGACTAACTATAGATTACACATATGCTGTGAGCTCCGTGTACACACATGCATTGTTACAACATAGGGTGAGTAACTATAGATTACACATATGCTGTGAGCTCCGTGTACACACATGCATTGTTACAACATAGGGTGACTAACTATAGATTACACATATGCAGTGAGTTCCGTGTACACTTATGCATTGTTACAACATAGGGTGACTAACTATAGATTACACATATGCTGTGGCCTGTGTATACAGTATGATGACCCTGAAACTATGCTCTCATGAAATACATGATTAATGATAATGTACCAACAGCTACGATCAAATGACGTCAAATGACAAATAAATGAATTTTTAAGTGAATGTAAGATGTCAAAGCAAAGCCATGTGTATCATGTGATGATGATAAACGTGAAAGCTTGCTATGAAAACGCATGATCGACACTATAAAGAAATTTTACTTCCTACATGTCAACACAACATATTATCACTTATCATATGCTAGCTTGTAAAGAACATTTTTTTTATCTACTAATCATAAATCATATAAACCAAAAAGAACTAAAAATATCAGACAAAATTAATTATTTAAATTAACTGTAATATGAAATGAGCGTCTGATGACCGAAAAATGGCGGGAAAATGTGGTTGGAGAGCATAAGGTCAAACGGTCATACTGTACTTACAGAACTGTCTCGTCTAACTACCAGATTCTTCTTTCTTTTCTCCAGTATGTATTGCCGCACCTCAATTTCGGCATGAGCTATTCGTTTTTCCTCGCTTTTTCTAAAATAGTTTTTTTTGTTTTTTATATTATTAATATTGAAACTAAAAAGCTCCTCTGAAACCATTTTTTGATGAACTATTGATAAAATTTTCAGTATGAAATTACACAGGGCTAAATTATTTAAGCAAACAAAAGACTTCTGTTGAATCAAAAACCAAACAACCAAAACTTAAAAGCAGAAAAATTCAAATATTTATATATTTCATTGATAAATATTAGGACTTAAATTTTTCACTTTGTATGGAATCATTGAAATAATTCTTATACATTCTTATTGAACTTTTTCAGGCATTGATTCATAATAATCAATGGAAAAAATTCCTTACTTAAGAACAGCAGGGTCCATTCCTCGTATGACCATGCGTCTACTGAGAGCAACTAGATCTTTTGATGTGGACACTTGTAAAATGTTGCCTAGCGACTGCCGTACTCCCTCTGTCTCGCCAACTCTTCTCATACCAACCATGTGTGAACCACTCGTTCCTGTTACTGTTTTGAAATAAAAGTATCATGTCAGGTTGTGCAGATATACGTATGTTTATCAAAGCCTATACAGTCCTTCATGCCACCACTAAATGAATACCTTGCTGTCAATGGATATCATTACATTCTTGAATTAAAGAACTTACCTTGCTAATTCAACCCCTATACTAAATGCTTATGTTGAACAGGCTTTGCTGCATGTGTCGTTGTGCAGGTGGCATTTATTAATAAGTGATTAAACATGGTAATTTCTGTAAATGTTTTTTTTATTGTGGTGAATTTCAACAGGTGATGCACTATTTAAGGTCAGGGACCTAGAGTTTTGATAGAATTGAAATGAAGTGCTTTTTTCACACATAAATAATTATGAATGAGATTGAATACAAATTTTAATAGTTTTTTTTTAAGGAGTTCATTGTTAATTAAACAGCGATTATCAATATTAAGGAGTCAGACCTGAATTCAACCTAGAAGGTCCTGCTCTTGGTGATCTCATCTGTGGAGGTGGCGAGCTTAGTGGTATCTCCCCACGTGCAGCAAGTCGCTGATCTTGTTCCCGTGCCAACTGTTCGATCATCTGATCTATACTGGCACGTATATTAGGCTGTACCTCACCACTGGTACCCGGTTCATTACTCTCATGTTCAGTAATAGGGCCTGGTTCCGGTTCTACTCTGGCTTCTGCTGCGTGTTCCTCTGCTGGTTCAGGTACACGATCACCCATTACCTCTTGCTCACCTACATGTATCAAATGAAAAAATATTAACTAAGATACATTAACTTTTTATCTATATATTTGTGATGGGTTTAGTCATAGAATGACCACCAAGATAATAAAGACCTAAAGGTGAAAAAAAAAACATGCTGCTCCATTGCACATTTTAAAGCACAAAATAGTAATAAGATTAAATAATCCACCTGAGGTACATTTAAAAGCATCCATATTTAAAGGAATTCATTTTTCAAGACAAATATTCATTCATTTTTTTTTGTTTTTACATTTTGCACCATTCTTATAATTTTCACTAAAACTGTTATTAAATTTGTATTTTCATCTTGTTAACTTTACATAACAGAAATGGAATTCAAGCTGAATTAGATATAAATTGCTCTGATGCCATTAGTTTCTTATTTTAAAACCTCTGACATGTGGCTGATATGCCTGAAACTCAAGTGTTTAATGAACAGATATATGATAGCATTTCTCTGCCTGTTGGCATAAACAATTCTGAAGGATGTAATCATTACCTTCTTCATTGACAGCAACTTCTGGTATAAGCTGGTCATCTCGGCAGTTTTCTCGACCAGGTACGAGCCTCTGCATGATTGGTGGGTATGGGTTGCCATCAATGTCCACTAGGAATGGGGATGGCATCAGGTGCGGTGCCTGCTGTGTCTGCTCATCCAGGACATAGTTGTTCGAGTCTCTAATGAGTGGACGGTAGTCGGTATGGAAAAACAGTTGATCTGGAAGCTAAAATAGAATAAAATAATTTTTCACATATTTCTTTCATTATTATTCAAGTGGTAAAAATTGATTTAACTATACATTTTACTTGTGATCCATTGAATATTAAAGAACCACTTTCTCGCGCCAATTGAATCAATATCTACGGTCTATATATTTGTAAATTCTTTAAAGATTTATTTATTTATTTTTATAACTAATGTTAAATTGTCATCAAAGCCTTTGGATATAAAAGCTGATACTATGTTAAGATTTTTTTTTTACTTGTAAATTTGTGAAAAAGCTTTATTTAGAACTATACAGGAAAAAAAAATCTTACCTTGTTACACCTTTCATTCTCCCCATATCCATAAATCATCATCTGTCCATGAGAATCTGTAGCTGTGAACATTGTTCCATCCGGTGAGAATTTACAATCAAACACAGCACCATGACCTTGACCTTCAATCTATTATGAAAACAATGAAACAAACAAATTTATCATGCTTTTTATATACATGTAACTTTAAATATCAGATTGTTAAAGCAATACGTGAATGTCATTATAGGACCATTGATCTCGTTAGGCACAATGTCTTGCTTACTTGAAAAAGGAAACAACTTCTTCACCCTTTCCAGAAGTTTTCATTGGCTAAACTCCTGTAATTCAGCCTTCAATTAAAACATTTGAGCCGCGTCATGACAAAACCAACATTATGGGTTTGCGACCAGCATGGATCCAGACCAGCCTGCGCATCCGCGCAGTCTGATCAGGATCCATGCTGTTCGCTTACAGACCCTATAACAAGTAGAGAAACTAATAGCGAACAGCATGGATCCTGATCAGACTGCACGGATGCGCAGGCTGGTCTGGATCCATGCTGGTCGCAAACCCATTATGTTGGTTTTGTCATGATGCGGCTCATTAAAGAATTACAGTGGAGATATTGTAAAATCAGTCATCATAGAATTTTAGTCAACATTATCCTTTTGACAATTTTGCCGCCCTTTTTTATAAATTAGAATGATAGAAAACTTTAAAGTAGAAAGTTCAAGATAAAAATTTTAAAAAAAAAACAACATTTTTCTGTAGTTTTCTCTCATCTTTTTCACTAAACACAATAACAACATATAATTTACATTTGGCTCAAAATGTTATAATCAGTAAACATAATACTTACTCGATTGAAAAATCTTTTGACTTGTCGACCTTTGATGACATCCCAAATAAAGATACAACCATCATGTCCGGCACTCATCATGATGCGTGCATCTATTGGATTAGGCTCCAATACAAACACTTCCTCATTATGGCCCTGAAAAAAACCCCTCAAGTTTCAATTTTACAACATTTCAATATATTTCAATGGGAACTGCTTCTTCAATAAATATCTAAAAAATTTTATCCTGTAAGTTTTATTCCCGGTCATGAAATTTAAAAGAAAATGCTGTTACTAAGTAGGAAAATAGAAAACTACAATATTTGACTAACTGTATACTCGACATACAAATGAGCCGTGTCACGACAAAACCAACATAATGGGTTTGCGACCAGCATGGATCCAGACCAGTCTGCACATCCTCGCAGTCTGATCAGGATCCATGCTGTTCGCTATCAGTTTCTCTACTTGTTAAATAGTTAGTAAATGAACAGCATGGATCCTGATCCCGATGCGCAGGCTGGTCTGGATCCATGCTGGTGGCAAACCCATTATGTTGGTTTTCTCGTGACGCGGCTCAAATAATAAACAATTAACAAAATGATGGATTAGAATATCAGATTTATACATGCCAGTATATAAATATTAATGACATACCCTAAGTCTGTACAGCAATTTTCCGGTAAACGAGCACCAGACTTTTAGTGAGTGATCGTTGATCGCAGTCATCACTAGAGTATCGTCAATATTCCATCCAACCATCGTAACTTTTAACTTCTGTGGTTTACCGTCTTCATCTAGTTCATCATCGTCATTATTGTCATTACGTGTTTTATTTTTAGCTTTTTTCTTCTCTTCTTCTTCATCGTCACTGTCATTTTCCCTGAGTAGATACATTGTATATTCTTATATACAGAAAAATTCAATTATTATAACCATCTACGACACTGTAGAAAAGTTGACTGATTTTAATCAATCAATGCATATAATTGTTCCCAACTAGTATTCAGAGTTAAAACTTTCTAAACCCTTACCATGCAAAATATCTTAAATGGTCTTGACCATCCGTTAATCAGGACACAACCATTCATTATTTTTTTACAACAACAAACTTTTATTCACTCTAAGGCCTCCATTATTATTAGTTATAATTTCACAATATGTACTGACTAAATAGTAAAGAGTTAAGACCATGATCAGATGGCACTAATGTAATCTTTAGTATACTTCTTTAATATTATCTTTCAAATTTTTAAATTTTCTGTTTCAAGTACCTAAGTTAATCTATGTCAGATTCTCAAATTTTATGTTTTTAGACTTTGTTTTTGACCCTAAGTGAATTGGTGCAAGTTAAAAATATCAGAAAACCTGAAAGCCCTGAATTTAGTATTATTTCAATTGATTTTATACACAAAAAGAGAGCTTTTAAGACCAGGAAAAACATCAATTTCAGGCAAATGAAATCTTGCACCCTTATTAAACTGGAGCTCCATTAAAATATTTTTCATCTAGAGTATAACAAACTAATGAAACAACATACTGGAGAGGTTATATACCTTTTTGGTGCTATAAGGTTCATATCTAGGACTAAACTACGCCACTCGTTCCTCTCAAACTTCCAGATACACGCCGTACCATCTTTACTACCACTCAAAAATCTGTTGTCATTGTTGGCATAAGTAATGCTATCTACACGATCCTGAAAATGATTTTAAGGGAATTGTAAACAATGAAACTAGATTTAATCAGGGCTTGCAAAATCTGAATTAGACTTCCTTGTCCGTTATCATCTAAAGCATTTCTTAAAGGGATACACAGGCAAAATTTTCATTTCTTCATTTTGAATTTTTCATTCATTTATCTATAAATTTCCTCAAAATGAATACACTTGGCAGTCACATGAACAAAACTTTTTTCCTTATAAAGAATAATATGATGGTTTTCCTAACCTGACCCCCGCGGGTCAGGTTAGAGCATTTAAGATTTCACAATAATTGTCACAATAATTATCTGGAAACATTTAAGAACATGCCAAATGAAAGAATAAGGTTTGTTTCAATCATACTACATCCACAATATCTATTATTGTAACTTGCACGGTTTGTTCAAGTCACATAACTAGTTTTAAAACTACTCGGTGATTCTGTCGGCGTCTAAATTTCGTTCAACATATAAAGATATTTTGACGCTTCAAACACAAATTATATAGAATTTATACAGAAATTCATGCTGGGACTTTTACAAATGTCATTTTAGCGTGATTCAAGTACATAAGATAATTTTGATATTTTTGTCATAAATTTGCCTGAGTACCTCTTTAACTTGTACTTAACAAACTATCCCATCAACTTTGAATTTTCAAAATACTCACTTTATTACATGTACTTGCATATTTATTGAACTATGAGGGAAAGAATAAAAGTCTTTTTTAAGCTTCAGCTACCTTGACAAATCTGTCAATGCAAAGTACCTTTTTAAAAAATATTTATGATATTAGTGTGTACTTGAAAATATTGTTATATGCTCCCCTAGAATTAATAGAGCATGATTTTTTGTTGCTGGTTTGATTTCACATCAACACAGTAGAGATCATTTAGGGGCTTTCCGGCTTACTGGTGGAGGAAGACCTCAGGTGCCACTTCGTGCATTATTTCAGGCACAAGCTTATGGAGCATGATAAAGTTACTGAACTTACCGTATGTTTTTCAAGTTCTCCTATCTTCTCCGGGTACCCTGTGTGAAAATGGTACATGCGTATAACATTGTCAGTACTTCCTGCGGCAAAGAACATTCCACCTGGACTAAATGAAGAGCATAAAACCTGTGCACCTGCTCGAGATTTCTCTATATATTTCACTGGTCTAGCACTGAAATAAGGAAATATAAAACATGAAATATAAAAGCTCTTTAATTAATTAAATGTCAGTTGTAACAATGACTTTACATTAACTCTGCTAAATTTCTTAAATGGACCAGTCTAGCTTTCATTTATGGAACTGTCCATTATCAATTTGGGGATATCAAGAAGAAAATTTAAAGTTAGTTGGCTATCAGTATAAAGTTTGATCAGACGGCACAAATACACAGACTGCCCTGGCTCTATACTAGTGACAAAAGCTTATCTCTTTTGATTCCAGAAGCATAAGTGTTAAAGAAATTTTCAAAATTCTTAACACAAAGAAGTAGTCTTGACAAACTGTTCTCACAAATATATGTTTAAAAATAAAATGACATAAAGAGTTTGAAAACTTATCAAATATGTTCATATTTTATCTATACCTTAATATGTTCATATTTTATTTACACCCACTAATGTAAATATTTTATCAAGCTAACATGTTTATATTTCATATATACCTTATACTTTCATATTTCATTTATACTTAAAAATATTATGCAAACTTGAAAGAAATAACATGTATCTCCTGAAGTACTTACTTAAAAGAATTATCAGTGACATTCCATTCCCAGAAGCAGACGCAAGCATCTCCACCAGTGGACGCGAGATAACGTCTATTTCCTTTCACCATTGGTGAAAACTAAAAATAAATATTTGTCAAATAATTGAAAAATATCCAATTTTCTCAAAAGACAATATAGATGTACAAACCATACATAATTCATGAAATGTGATTTCACAAAAGAGTTATATCTTTAATTCTAACATGACTCGTGATTTTGTCACCTTACGAAGAAAATAATCAGTGCAAAACTGCCAATAAACACTGGCTTTTCTTTTTTACTTGTACTTCCTCTCATAAAATGGATACACAAACGGGCAACAATAATAAGTTAATGTACTGACATGCTGTTAAGCATAAATTGAGTTGTCCAGCTTTATTATTTTTAAGGAGCTCCACTAAGGTAAACAAGAGCACCGCTAGGCGGAGCATTATATGCCCAAAAGTGTTTTGTTTTTTTTAGTAAGGATGAAGCATTTGTAAGACATGGGAATTAAATAAAGTATTACCTCCTTCAAATAGCAATCCTCCTATGAAGTTTGAATATTGTGGGCCAAATGGAACTAAAGTTATGCTCCGGAAACTGTTTTCAGTTTTAAGGTAATAGTGACCTTGAACTTTGACCATGTGACCCCAAAATCAATAGGGGTGTTCTACCCAATATAGACAATCATCCTATGAAGTTGAACAATGAGGGCCAAATGGAACTTACGTTAGGGTATGGAAACTGTTTTCAGTTTAAAGTAATAATGACCTTGAAATCAATAGGGGTCTTCTACCCAATATGGACAATCATCCTATGAAGTTTGAACACTGTGGGCCAAATGGAACTTAAGTTATGTTCTGGAAACTGTTTTTAGTTTTAAGGTAATAGTGACCTTGACCTTTGACCTTGTGACCCCAAAAACAAAATGGGTCTTCTACCCAATATGGACAATTATCCTATGAAGTTTGAATATTGTTGGCCAAATGGAACTTAAGTTATGCTCCGGAAACTGTTTTCAGTTTTAAGGTGATAGTGACCTTGACCTTGTGACGCCAAAATCAATAGGGCTCTTCTACCCAATATGGACAATCATACTATGAAGTTTGAACACTGTGGGCCAAATGGAACTTAAGTAATGTTCCGGAAACTGTTTTCAGTTTTAAGATAATAGTGACCTTGACCTTTGACCTTGTGACCCCAAAATCAATAGGGGTCTTCTACCCAATATGGACAATCATCCTATTAAGTTTGAATATTGCGGGCCAAATGGAACTTAAGTTATGCTCCGGAAACCAAATTGCTAGCTATAAAGTTTGATCAGACGGCACAAATACACAGACTGCCCTGGCTCTATACTAGTGACAAAAGCTTATCTCTTTTGATTCCAGAAGCATAAGTGTTAAAGAAATTTTCAAAATTCTTAACACAAAGAAGTAGTCTTGACAAACTGTTCTCACAAATATATGTTTAAAAGTAAAATGACATAAAGAGTTTGAAAACTTATCAAATATGTTCATATTTTATTTATACCTTAATATGCTCATATTTTATTTACACCAACAAATGTAAATATTTTATCAAGCTAACATGTTTATATTTCATATATACCTTATACTTTCATATTTCATTTATACTTAAAAATATTATGCAAACTTGAAAGAAAAAACATGTATCTCCTGAAGTACTTACTTAAAAGAATTATCAGTGACATTCCATTCCCAGAAGCAGACGCAAGCATCTCCTCCAGTGGACGCGAGATAACGTCTGTTTCTTTCACCATTGTGAAAACTAAAATAAATATTTGTCAAATAATTGAAAAATATCCAATTTTTCAAAAGACAATATAGATGTACAAACCATACATAATTCATGAAATGTGATTTCACAAAAGAGTTATATCTTTAATTCTAACATGACTCGTGATTTTGTCACCTTACGAAGAAAATAATCAGTGCAAAACTGCCATATAAACACTGGCTTTTCTTTTTTACTTGTACTTCCTCTCATAAAATGGATACACAAACGGGCAACAATAATAAGTTAATGTACTGACATGCTGTTAAGCATAAATTGAGTTGTCCAGCTTTATTATTTTTAAGGAGCTCCACTAAGGTAAACAAGAGCACCGCTAGGCGGAGCATTATATGCCCAAAGTGTTTTGTTTTTTTAGTAAGGATGAAGCATTTGTAAGACATGGGAATTAAATAAAGTATTACCTCCTTCAAATAGCAATCCTCCTATGAAGTTTGAATATTGTGGGCCAAATGGAACTTAAGTTTTGCTCCGGAAACTGTTTTCAGTTTTAAGGTAATAGTGACCTTGAACTTTGACCTTGTGACCCCAAAATCAATAGGGGTCTTCTACCCAATATAGACAATCATCCTATGAAGTTGAACAATGAGGGCCAAATGGAACTTAAGTTAGGGTATGGAAACTGTTTTCAGTTTAAAGTAATAATGACCTTGACCTTTGACCTTGTGACCCCAAAATCAATAGGGGTCTTCTACCCAATATGGACAATCATCCTATGAAGTTTGAACAATGTGGGCCAAATGGAACTTAAGTTATGTTCTGGAAACTGTTTTCAGTTTTAAGGTAATAGTGACCTTTGACCTTGTGACCCCCCAAAAAAAAAATGGGTCTTCTACCCAATATGGACAATTATCCTATGAAGTATGAATATTGTTGGCCAAATGGAACTTAAGTTATGCTCCGGAAAATGTTTTCAGTTTTAAGGTGATAGTGACCTTGACCTTGTGACGCCAAAATCAATAGGGCTCTTCTACCCAATATGGACAATCATACTATGAAGTTTGAACACTGTGGGCCAAATGGAACTTAAGTAATGTTCCGGAAACTGTTTTCAGTTTTAAGATAATAGTGACCTTGACCTTTGACCTTGTGACCCCAAAATCAATAGGGGTCTTCTACCCAATATGGACAATCATCCTATTAAGTTTGAATATTGCGGGCCAAATGGAACTTAAGTTATGCTCCGGAAACCAAATTGCTATTAACAGACTGAATGAAAAAATCTCATTATAAAATTAAAGATCGATTTGTGTGCCATTCTTAAAGCCCTTTGAGTAAAAAGCATTGCATTTTCATTTTTGAGCTATTTTTCATAATAAAAATGATGATTCTGGAAAAAAGGGGAGAGGGAATGATCTAAAAATTTGCAGAAAAATTATTGGTCTAGATATACATCAAATGGTACACAAATAATGGAAACATATTTCCAATTCCGTGATGTTAAAACATGTCAGTGGAGTGCCTTAATAAAAATTTCAAAATATGTACTGACTGAATAGTTAACAGTGCATACCATGAAGCCAGTTCAGACAGCACGGGTAAGAAGAGTTGCCCCTAGCAGGCTAAGAGTTGACAGAGACAAAAAATAATAACTCATTTTATAAATAAAGTGAATATAAAAAATTCAAATTCAAATTCAAAAACACTGCATAACAAATGTTACAAAAGGAATTCCATCAATAATTTGCCCATGGACTATGTAACATGCCTTCATATATCACAACTGTAACCAGGTAAAATCAATACATGTATGTAGGTATGTAGAGCTGATATTAAGTTATCAAGTACATGTAAAACTCATGCTGTTATATACCAATTGTTTCTATGGAAGGCCATTAGTGACATAATTTAAAAATCAATATTGTTATGAAAATCAACCAGATTTTACCTGAAGTGATGTAATCATCCCAGTATGTCCTAATAACACGGCAGCAGGTGCACAAGACTTTAGACACCATACACGGACAGTTTTATCACAACTACCTGATGCCAGGAGGGTATTCTCGTAATTAATGGCCATATCAGTAATCTCCCCTGCATGACCCCTCATGGTCGCCTTCAAACGACTGTCAAATACCCACCAGATTTTCACAAGGGCGTCATCAGCTGCCTGTATTTGAAATAATTAGATATCCACAGTAGGTTTTTGAAGTGACATTATGCCTAGCCAAGTGTAAATGTTGAGAGAACAGGTAAACGTCAAAATAAGATAACATTTTGTCATATTTGTTTCCAATTTCATATTCTATTTTTAATCAATATTCAATAGCCCACATGGCACACAGAATATTCTTCACAATGTATTGGTAACACTCAGGTGATAAAAAGAGTGGGGCAGTCTGTTTATATTTTTGGCAGTTTTTATATTCTACCCTAAACATTTCTAATCATCAATTATTGGTCAATCAGCATTAAAATAATAAATCTTTTCAAATATATAGCTTATTCACCTCAGCTTCACATTGAAAAAATGAGCATAATGTCACTTTAAGTATAAACCAATTCTGTTGAAGTAATGTTACTCAAGTTCTTTTCTATGCAAATGATGACCTTGCACCAGAGTAATAAAACCATTGACTTTTTTCCATCTCGCAGGATATATAGAGCTCAACACTAAATACATTGTGGTCAAATATGCAAATTAGACAACTGGTATATTACCATTCTATGCAAACTACACTTAAATACAACACACACAACATCTGTATAAAATATACATGTACAAAAAACTGATCTGCATGTATTAACAAAACAGACATACTGGTATAACCAGAAGAAAACTTACAGTGAAGATGTATTGTCCAGTACGATCAAACAAAGCACAATATACAGCAGAAAGATGACCAAGCTTCCGACTATGTTGTTGTATTCGTGTATACATGCACGTTGGAATCACATGACCTAAATGTGTTCTGCCTGTCAGCTCTCGGCCACGATGAATAGTTTCTGAAAAAAATTAAGATATGTTATTTTAATTGTCTCCAGGAACCAGTATTAGAAAACAAAAAAACGTCAAAATTAAAGTAAATTATTCCTGGAGTAAAGAGATTCAACATCGAATAATAAACTTGCATAAAGAATGCACTGGCCAGTTATATTTAAGAATATTACTTTCTCAACAGTCTATTTAATGAGACAGCAATGCATACGTAACTCTGCGAAACATTCATATTTTTTACAACATAATGTACATGATTGTGTTTATTTAAGTTTAGATTCTGATTATCACAAGTTTATGCCAAGTTTGTCAGTATTAAATATTGTGAATTTCAAACTTAAGAGCAACTGGCAATTATTCTGTTCAATACAAATACCCTTCATGATCTATTTCACTCAATATGTCAATAATAATGCCTTCCTATTCATTAATGAGTATGAATATCAGTATTATATTTTTTTTTAACATTAAGATTTGTTTTGAAAATTCACTTACGCCATTTAGGTGGGACTAAGTTTACTGGGGGATATACAGAACAGCCATGCTGCAATGCCGAATGAGCTTGTGGTTGCCATGACAATTTCTTCATATCTGTAATACAAATTAAATATAATTAGAAATATGCAGCACTAAGGTGATGCAAATATTAATTGTTTGAAGATTTATATAAATACATAATTTATAATATCTATGACATTAAACAACTTTGTTGATTCGGAATCACTGTTAGCAGATTCATAATAACATCTTCATTTATAGTCTTTAACAAATTGTGATGCAAATCTTAACAAATTCTAAAAATAAGATTTAACATGCAGAACTTTGTAAATATCACTTGGCATATTTTACATTTTAGACAAATACGTACCTAGCTGTGTGCGCAATAATGACTGGCTGCCGGCACCCAACAGAGACTTTACTCCCATAATGTTGGGCCGGACTTTCTCGTCCATTAGGGGTCCTAAACGCTGACATATTTTCAGTAAATGATCACATCCAATATGTTTATTAAGCTCCAGCTGAAATAAGAAAAACATGAACACACTACTATGTAGGTAAGTATCCAAAGGTTTCTTTTCTTGGCATTACAGCACATAATTCATTCATTTAGACTGGACATTTTTGCAGTAGTTGATAAAAAATTGCTAAAAATTGAGGGTAATATAAGATGAACAAAAATTTGCTAAAAATTGAGGAAAATGTAAGATTACAATTTTGAGTTGACTGAATCTCATATTCTAACCTTCTATACAAAGTAGAGCACCCTAGATATGTTTCTTTCTCTCAACATAATCATTGACCTGTAGCTTTTATATCATTCTACTTTAAAAGTGTATAAAGCTATATTTAACTGCTACAAAATTATTGTTTGAATTTTAACAACAAAGGCGATCTGTGCTCATGTGTCGTGTCATCTGATGACAGCCAATTATGCAGTTGTATTTAGAGGTTGCCGCCAGTTACTTTGAAGCATGTTGCAGCTACTGTTTTGGAGGAGACACAAAAATCATTCACAGGTCAAAACACTTTTTTCATCTAAGGGCCATTACTCAGCAAAAAATTATTCAACTGGAAAACCAATTGATTATGCACAAGTTCTTGACGTTTCAATCAATACTGTAAACATTTACTCAAATTTCATTAGTAGAATAAGAGAGGTAGCCTATACAAAACTTTAAAAAAATAAAAAAAAATTTGATGTTTATTCTGGAACATTTTATTCTGTTTATATATTGTATTCGCATTCTATCTTACAAATTTGAAAATTGACCATAAGATTAAGTAACCAAAATTATTTTTCTGTTGTTAAATCTGACAAACTTATTTCTTAAGATTTAGCTTTAAACCCTTTAAAAGCCATTATTTCTAAATATGGACAAAGTAAGTGCTATATACTTTTTTCCCATTTCAACAGGGGAATTTTTCTAAAAAAATAAAGCAAAAAAATTAAAAAAAACTATAAAATAAACTATACAATCAAACATTTTGAAATGTAAAAAAATGAGGTTTAAATTATGATGTTTCCATTTGAAATACCCTGTATTACCTTTTTAATATATAATGCTAATGAACTCTGAATAATTTATTATTAGAAAAAGTAGTACCAACAACACTGCACAGTTTAATGTGTTTTCAATATTACGAGTTAATTATACTTGGAGAAAGAAAAATTGTTTGAATTTGAAATAAAATGGATATTTTACCCCATTTTAACCTAAAAGTTAAACAACATAATTGTGTTACATACGGAAATTACACAAAAAACAACCACAATGCTGATGCATTTTGAAACAGACTTTAATTTCCTGATGACATGATCGCTTACTTTAGAAACAAACTATACTGGAGTTAAAATCTTATTTGTATCAACCAATCAAAATCCTTCAATTTTTCAAAGCCTGATAACCATTGGTCCAGAGTAAATCTCTGTCCCATGACGTCAAAAGGTCAATCTAATTTACTTTCTCTGCATTTGTAAGGCTGTTTTCCAATAAAATTAATAATTACAGAACTGAAATAAAAAATAAAATTTTACATCATTTGGTAGATAATTAATATCTTTATGCAACGAGCATTTTAAATTGACCCACTAATCAATAAAAGATACATTATTTAAAAAATAAAATTTTGCCATTTTTGCCACCATTGCTCTTGGGAATCTTACCAAACTTTCAAAACTTCTTTCATGTTCTCTTCCTTCCCAGTCAATTCTTTTGGGTAGCAGCTGTGTGAAAATGAAAGAAAAAAGATTAATACAAAATTGTGCCAAATTTCAAATAATGTCATTTCAGAGGTACTTCACAAAATTTTTTCAAAATAAATGCGCATTTCCCGTATTTTCTAACGTAAACACCCGCAATTGCCGGTTATTTTACTATGAATTTTATGTAGAGTACTTACCCCATGTTCGTCCAATTCCCTGCGTAAAACCTGAAAATAGAAACAAAATGTGAAATACATACTACTAATGAAGCATTCAGCAATCGAAATAAGGAAAACTACTTACTGTAGCGGCACTCTTACATGGTCCAGTCGACAAAAACCTCTCAATCAGAAAGTACAATTCTGAAAATAGAAAGGAAGGTTCAGTCATCACCTGTTCAGGATGGGTTAATAAACGAATTACAGTAATAAATGGCATATAACTTACCTTGTTCGATTGTAGAATCTCTTTGCTTTCGACTACCACTAGCAAACATTTTCCTTAATAGTTTCTACGGCTAAAACCGGTCAGGTAATTTTGGAATTGTCCTGATAACGAGTGGTAGCCATTTTCGTTACAAATCAACAAGATCACAAAACAAAAAGCGTAGTAATTTCACGACACACTTTTAGAAAATAAAAACAACAGCAGTCTTTAACATAGACAGTGACAGACAATCAAAACATTCATTTATCGCAAGAGATATTTACACATATGTCATTGCTTATTTAAACCATGAAACCATTGAGTTTTAAGAACTACTTTTTGTATTCAAAGACTTGACCTACATTTGAATCTTATGACGTCACAACGGGAAAACCCTCGTGGATGGTGTCTCCCCATGTAGTACACGTAGACTATCATATCAGCGGTATATATTTTTGCTAAATTTACCTTTATTTTCTCACATAATTTCCATTGTTCCAGCAATATCTTATCTATTAACAATAAATGTATTTTGGAAACATATTATTAGATCTAATAATCTAACATGTTTAGTAAATTTGCACAAAATGTTGTAATATTCGGATATTTAGTCATTGGATAAAAGTCAAAGATTGATCAGGTTTTAACAGATTTGTCCAGAACAAGTGATAATAAATTACACGTTTATATGTTTTTGTAGTATTATATCAAGCTATATGCATAGGATATTTGCCGGGATATTTATTAACCAGTAAATATGCTTGTCACTTAGAAGATGTCTGCAAACAAAGTTATCAGATAAATTAACATGATATGTACGATTCAGAGTAAACTCGTCCCCTGGTCAACTCGTCCTCTGGTCAACTCGTCACCTTTTTGGTCAACTCGTCCCTTGGACAACTCGTCCCCTGGTCAACTCGTCCCCAACTCGTCCCCCCCCCCCCCTCAATAAATTATCATAGACTGTTAAAATAATACATTATAAAATTACTGAATTTGACATATTTTGACGCTTTTTGTATGCGAATATTTGGAGGTTTTTTTTTGTTGTCAATTAAATATATCATGACACGTGCCTTTGGTTATTAAAGTAAACACATAGTAATTTGATAACAGGATTAAAGACACATTTGCCTCTGTGGTTGGATACGTATATACATATTAAAAGAACGCGTGTCTTTAATTAGAAATTATACAAATCGCGTGAAAATCGTGCCAAAGGTTGTTATAAAATTTTATTTTCCAAATGTCGACTTTGTTTTTGATGGTGTATGGTCAAATATGTGAAAATGTTGAATTAAATACAATTAATACATTCAATATGTTGACTTGTATTATACAAGAAATTCTGGAACTCGGTTTTATACAGCTCCTCTTTGAGATCAATTTAAAGATTTATTTATGGAAATTTAATATTAATCTTTACTTATTATTAGATGGCAATTGAATATTTAGTAATTACTTTATGTTTTCAATTAGTTGATATCCACGGCAAATATCATTGTACGGATTTTTTATTTAAAAAAAATAATGAAAAAAAAAATACTAACTCTTTCAAAAGGCATGTATGTTTATACAACTCCTATGATAATGGACCATAATATTACAATGAAATTCAATTTTAAAAAAATCAGAAACAATTGACAATTTCACAACAAACAATTATCATGTTTTTAATTGACACGATCCTTCTATAATGAGATCAATACGCACCAACATAAAGTTTTTAGCACTTCCAATTTCTGTTAATCTGTCGTCAGTCTTTAATCCATTCAGGTAGGAGGTAAAAATCAAAGAGTTGGACCTAATTTTAGTTTTAATTATCATTAAAACTCCGATTAATTAAACATTAATTGAATGTTTGCAAACTTACCTGTCTTTGTAATTTTACATCAAAGCTATGCACGTGGGTTAGATAAAGATCATTAAAATTTAACGTAAAAAAGACGTTATTTTATTAATATTTCGATATCAATCAAATTCATTATAAATTTTACATAAAAAGTACTATTTAAAGACATTGATTTACAACATAATAGTGACGAATAGATCGAACGTAGGGGACGAGTTGACCATATTAGGGACGAGTTGACTCTTTGAGGACGAGTTGACCAAAAGTAGGGGACGAGTTGACCAAAAAGGTGACGAGTTGACCAGAGGACGAGTTGACTAGGGGACGAGTTGACCTGATTGCATATGTACATGTAGATATGGTTTTCTTTAATATTCATTTTTTATTAATTTCAATTTGATAATAGATATTTTATGTGGCAGCATGGCCTAGTGGTTAACATATTGATGATTTGACTAGTAATCTAAGGACCACTAACCCTGTCAGGGGCAAGCCATATTGTTCCCATGAGCAAGAACTGTTGTATGTTTTGTTTTGACAAGCATAATTAATATTATTATTGAAAATATTGCATCTCAAATGAGCTGTCCAGGTAAAATATGCAACTGTATTATTTAACCAGGAAGAGACACATCTTAATAGTCCTAGATTTAATACATGTGATGTTGCATGTAGTATGGGGGCGGAGCTTATCAGCAGCTAAAGACTGTAAAGACTGATTAGAATCAAAATTATCAATATAGAACACTCATTGCTCAATACTGTTTGGTTCGCAGAATTGAATTTATCTAGTAATGAGTATGTCTATAAAGTTCTAGCTTTCTACACAATTAAACTGAAATAAATCAAGTACATGTATAATCTAAATCCCCTAAATTATAGTCATGTAGTAAATGTTGTAACACATTGATCTCTATTCTCTGTCACTATTTTTAGGAAAACAAGTCAAAATCCTATCAAAAGTATTTTATCTGTGGAGACCAAAAAATTTGGGAAACTCGGTATGTCGTGGTTTCCTGAGCGAAGGACGCAGGACTCATGGGTTCACAAGATTTGCACAAGTGTTTTAAAGGCCGGACCTATACCACAACACATTGCAATCATAATGGATGGAAACAGAAGATTTGCCAAGAAAAACAGCATGGCTAAAGCTGAAGGACATTTAAAAGGATTTGATAAACTTGCAGAAGTATGTTGCAATATGTTTTATAATTGTGCAAACGATTAACACCAGTTTGTGGTTACTGCAAGATTTTATTTCAACCTTTATTCTCCTAATAAACCATTGGTCATCTTAAAATATTGTATTGGCAATTTTCAAAGAGTGATCTAGGAGTTCAGCTTTCCCAATGTGTGCTGACTACCATTTATAAGTAAAAGATCATTGAGATTTTACAGAGTGAGAAAAAATGTGTAAACAGCCTGAAAGCTCAGTCAGTAAAGTCATTGAATGATATTCCAAAGGGGTTTGTTTTAAGTCCATTAAGCAGATTTTTCTGACTGTTACAGACTATTTATGGAATACTTGTAGATCTAAACATTTTTGACTTTTTTTCCTCAATGTCAAGTTGCACTAAATATAAAAAAATCTTAGAAGAGATTAAATATATAGGGTATCAGAGGTTAGAACTTTACGGTACGAGATCAGTAATTTCAAAAACTGTATCAAAATAATTAATTGCCTTAAAATAATGTGAATATCTTGTGCATGAGGATAAAATATTCAATGTTGCAATAAGAAATTTCATTCATTTGATTTAATCATTATTTGTCATAATTTTATTTTTAGACGCTAGAATGGTGTTTGAGTCTTGGTATACTGGAGGTAACAGTTTATGCATTCAGTATAGAAAACTTTAAAAGATCCAAAGATGAAGTAGATTGCCTCATGGAATTGGCAAGACAAAAATTTGCAAGACTTTTAGAAGAAAAGTAAGTAGCCTTTTTCTTTGCAATAATTGATTGATACTATTCGATTTTTATTGAGTTTGCTCCATTAAATTAGTTAAATTGATTAAACAGACTCCACTGAGGTAATGACTGGAAATATTTTTTCAAGATTTATGTACTATTTGATGTAGGTCTGGATTCTGGACCAATAACCATTCTGCAAAATTTCAGGTCATTAACTAAGTCAGTTTTTCCAGAATGTTTATTTAAATTGTTAAAACATACACAAGCATTTAAATGCATTTAAATGCTTTAAACTTGAATCAGGCCAAGAATCTCACAGAAATACCATTTTCAATTTAATTCTGAGTACATATAGATATAGATATATTAAGATTTTCATTCTTTTCTTCATAGTTATCCAATGTTTTTAAGCTTTTTGCAAAACAAGTTTTGAGAGTATCCGTATCAATTGTTGTTAACAATACATATTCTTATTTAAAATTTACATTTACACCCATTTATTGTTTATAGAGAACTGATTCAGAAACATGAAGTATGTGTCAGAGTTTTGGGAAATGTTTCCTTACTTCCTGAAGATGTGCAGCGGACTGTGGCTGAGGTCATAAACCTATCTAAAAATAACACAAGGTAAGATTTCCAGAATATTGGTCGTTACACATTAACCCTTAGACTTAGAGGATTTTTGGTTGCTTACAAAACACCATTGCCAAAAGCATAGCAAAGCCATTCAACTGTTGCCAAATACATAGAGACAGTCTATTGTTGCCAAAACCATAAAGCCAGTCTACTGTTGCCAAAAGCATAGAGCCAATCTATTGTTGCCAAAAACATAAAGCCAGTCTATTGTTGCCAAAAACATAAAGCCTGTCTACTGTTCCTAAAAATATAGATCCAGTTTATTGTTCCCAAAATTATAGATCCAGTTTATTGTTCCCAAAAGTATAGATCCAGTTTATTGTTCCCAAAAGTATAGATCCAGTTTATTGTTCCCAAAATATAGAGCCAGTTTATTGTTCCCAAAATAAAGAGCCAGTCTATTGTTCCCAAAATATAGAGCCAGTCTATTGTTCCCAAAATATAGAGCCAGTCTACTGTTGAGAATAGCATAGAGCAAGTTTATTTTGAAAACACTTGCCCCTTGACCCATCTTTATACTGCTTGTTGCTCATCATTAAGTTTTTTTTTTAGTTTTCTTTATTTCAAATCTGATAAACTACTAATTTACAATGAATGTTTCTAAAACAAAGGCTTGAAAAATTCATTCCATTTGTTCAAGGGTTAGAATGTAAATTTCAGTTTCAATTTATTATGCTCCCCGAAAAATTTCGGGGGAGCATATAGTCGGCGCCTTGTCCCTCTGTCCATCCGTCTGTCTGTCCGCACTCACAGGAGAGTAATTATGTGGCTAGAGGGACAATAGGTAACTGTTCTTTCTCTTTGATGTCACTCATTCCGTAATGCTTTTATGTGGCTATTTTCTTTTGTGTGGCTAAAAAGAACAATAGAGAGAACAATAGAGTAGCCACATAATTACTGTCCTGTGAGAACGTCCGTCCGGGCAAACGAGAGGACACTTGTTGGGTACCTTGAACACATGAGAGGAAACTTGTTGGGTAATTCTATTCATTCCGTCAGTACTGTTGGGTACCTTTGTTCTCTTATTGGGTACTTTTAAACAAAAGAAGTACCCAATAAATGACCATTCGTAGGAACGTCCGTTCGTCTGACCGTCCGTTTTTTTGTCCGGAGCATAAATTTGAAAACCCTTGGAGATAATTTGTTTAAACTTCATACAGTGGTAGAGGGCATTGAGGGGGAGTGCAGTGTTAAAGAACCTTAACTCTATTTTGCCCGATTTTTGAATTATCTCCCCTTTTAGAAAAATCTTGTCCGGGACATAACTGTAAAACTATAAGAGATATCAACATGAAACTTTGTAGGTGAATAGATCTCAATGGGCAGATGTGCAGTGCATAAGAACAATAACTCTTTTTGTCCTAATTTTGGAGTTATTGCCCTTTGTTAATTTTAACACTTTGATCTTTGTCCGGAACATAACTCTATAAGCTATAAGAGATATCAAGGTGAAACATTGTAGGTAGATAGATCTCCTTGAGTAGAAGTGCAGTGCAAAAGAACCATAACTCTGTTCAGCCTCATTTTTTAATTATCTCCCCTTTTGGAAAAATCTTGTCCAGGACATAGCTGTAAAACTATAATAGATATCATCATGAAACTTTGTAGGTAGATATATCTCAATGGGAAGATGTGCAGTGCACAAGAATCATAACTCTGCCTTGCCTAAATCTGGAGTTATTGCCCTTTGTTTATTTTTACTTTTTGAAGTTGTCCGGGACTCGGAAACCATAAGAGATATCAACATGAAACTTTGTAGGTTGATAGATCACATTGATTAGAAGTGCAGTGCAAAGAACAGTTACTTTGCCTTGCCTAATTTTGGAATTATTGCACTTTGAACTTTTTCCAGGGACATAACTCTGAAACTACAAGAGGTGTACTTTCCTGTATCCAAAACCTATTCGGGGAGCATCACCCGGCTCAAACCGGGCTCTTGTTTACAATAACAGTCAGTTTTTTATAATTTACAAAAACATGAGCAAATCAAATAGGCAAACATATAATAGAAATAGGGCACTGTGATGCTAAGGTGTTGGCATAAAATCAAAATAATAATAATATTAATTAATAATAATAATATTTATAATAATAATAATAATAAAAATAATGATGATGATAATGATAATAATAATGATGATGATGATGATAATGATGATGATGATAGTGATGATGATGATGATGATGATGATAATATTAATAATGATGATAATGATAATAATAAAAATAATAATAATAAAACATAGAGGATAACAATATAGATTTATGTTTGTAAGCTGATAAATAACATCCAGGGACATGTTATGATCTTTTGTGTTTTCGCATACAAATTCAAATATTTTGTATATCATTAATTACTATAACACTTAACAGTTAATTGAAGCCAGGTGATTCAATTTATGTCAGGTTCTATTAAAGTGGTTGTATTAAGAATAGAAAAAAATAGGTCTTGCTATTTATTTTTTAATCCTTATCCTGCTTATCCTGCTGAATTTGTATAATGGACTTGTCCAGCTTTGAATTAGGGATGGTCCATTTTAAATTTTAGGGATTTTAAATTTTTAATATCAAAATAAACAGACAAGCCACACAAACACGAACATTCAGTAATTAAATTTTATTGCAAACGTTTCGGCTATATGCCTTCATCAGTGCAAAACATTTTTTTTTTTTAATATCAAAATACAAATTTACCTGTTCTAGGGACTGTTACAGAGCAGTCAACCGTATATAGCCTGGTCAAACAGTATACATGTGGCATTGACAACCTATTATGGCAAAATTTAATTTAATTAGATTGTGTAGGAAGCTAATAGGTAATATAGACACACTCTTGTGTGCCTTGATTAACAAAGAAACACAGAGTATAAATATCTTATGATAACCCTTGAAAACTGATCAAATATTTTCCTCTTATATGAAGTGCCCTTAAAAGAATCTTTAATATGTGGAAAAAAAACATTGTTAATTTTGTTAAGATCTTAAATTATTTTCTATTGTTTTAAGAGATGCACTTAACTGTTTTAAGGTTTTCACTTAACTTTTTTTTCTGGTTTGTCTGTTTAGGTTTGTCATAGGTCTTGTATTTTAGCCATATTCAAAAGAACTTAACTGCTTTATTTGAATAGACAAGAAATTGAATACTGTAGTTTTGATGAAGAAAGAAGAAATATTTTTTCCTGTAGAAGAAGAAATTAATTTTGTTATGAACAAAGATATGCAAATCAGAAACCATGCCTTACAAGTCATGTTTTAGGAAACAATTTGAATAAAAAAATTTTTTACGAAATACATTTTCAAAAGAGGCAGAGTTACTTTATGCATACATGTAAGTCCTATCAATACTAAGTTTTGATTGGACTATATTGGCCTGGAATATAACATAAAACTTTTTTTTTTAATTTTACAGTGTCATAGATCTTGATAAAATTCTTAAAGAATTTGTTGCAGAAACCTACATTTTAATGAAAAAATATATAAAAAAATTAACCCAATAGAATACAACTGTATAAAAAGTGAAGAGCCTTGTCTGGAAACCTGTACTCTTTTATCTTGCATCTAATACCACCTAATGTAGGGCTACATCCTTGAAAAATACTTTCACCACCACAGTACTGAGCCAAGCCAGCCTGCTCATTTGTGAAGTCTGACCAGGCACTATACTGATTGCTGATCATGGACTGCACTGTTCACTATTCGGTCAAGCACTTATTTTAAAAATTTTCCCCTAAAATATGATGAATGGTTTTTGCCCAGAATGAAAAATGAACAAGTCCATTTAATATTAATTGAGCATGGTGCAGGCAAGACAGGCCCATTATTCAAATTAAGCACAGCCACTTTAAAAAATACAACAGATAGAATACAAAATGAAAGCTAATGGCTTCTAACACAATTGAACTAGAAAATTATTTGTTTAAACTAAAACGAAAGTCAAGTTACACTGTAGAGGCAGGACTAGTATTGGCAAGACAGGCCCATTATACAAATTCAACAAAGCAGCGCTAAAAATACAACAGATAAAAATATAAAATGAAAGTCAAGTTACACTCTAGAGGCCGGACTAGTATTGAAACTGAATCAAATGTTTTTGAAGTTACAGACTCATATCTCCAGAGCAGCGGACTTCCATTAGTGTGATGTTTACCTCTTGTTTATATACCTTACTCTATGTTGCATATCTTACCTGCAAAGTTATGAATTTGCATAATCTTATTTCTTAGAGAATTGTATGTATAATAATCGTGTTTGTTAATTCTTACACATAATCAGTTTTTATTTTGGTACAGTTTTTTATTGCATAATCCATTTTTCTTCCCGGTAAAGTTCTTAGTTTGTGATTAAACAATTTAAATTCTTTGAGAAAATGATTTTATATTTTAGTATATGCATTTGATGTTAAAAGAATATGCTGTAAACATGTAATTCTTTGTAGTTTGTAATTTTGACGTCAATTGTAAAAATGTTTTTTCTGTATTAATGTTTAAATACTCATGACAAAGCCTTGTTACATGGTGCATTTAACAAAGTTGTGGAAGATCTTTCATGTGATTTTTGTATTGAATAACTGGACCCGAAACAAAAATAATTTACATTGGCAACGGTGCTATTCTTCATTCATTCTAAGGTGAGGTAAAGAAGAAAGTGTTGTTACTATTTTTAGAATTACCTGGAATTGTATATACCGGTAATAAATTATGTACATGTTCACAGTTATATGCTTGAGAGCCCCAATAAATATCAGCTGTAATTTTCTCTCATTGTTCTGCTATACAAAAAAGAATCCAGTTCATCAGAAAAATTTAGATTATACCTTAATAATACTTTTGAATATTCAATTAAATGAACTCCACTGAGGTCCTATACCCTAAAAACATAAAATTTGAAAGTATAACATAGATCAGCTGGGCCACTTAAAACAGAATGATATGCAAAAGATACTAAAGAAATATATTCAAATTAAATTGAAAATCGTATATTAGAGCTATTTTTAGCCTGATTTTGCAACGCTTTTCAATTTTTGGTCATTTTGCATAGTAAGAATAAAAAATATTTTTGAAAAACGGATTGAGTGAACGATCTGAAATTTTGCACACAAGTTAGTAGTCTAGCCCTGCATCAAATGGAACATTTATCTCAAAAAATTATTTCAAGTGCTGTTATGTTAAAAAAAAACAACTCAGTAGTGGAGTCCCTTTAACTTAATATGATATTAATAATGTTAATTGGATGCAAATTTTAGCTTGTTTTAATAAATTTCAAACTTTAACATGCTGGAACTTTTGCCACCAGTATACTATACTATAGTATAGGTCAGACTGTAGTGAAATGCATACTAACCACATACTGTACTGTTTGCTGACCTTGATATTCCTAAAATTGATAATTGACAGTCTAAAATAAAGAAGGTGGGTAATTCCGCAGGTTTACAAATATGACTACAGGTAGTTACTTCCCTTGATATTCTGTTCACATTATCAGGACCATAATGTACAATAATACATTGAGGATTAGATATGTTAAACTTGTGACTCAAAAAGATACATATGCTACATGTATAAATAAAGGCAGAACATGTATTACCTTTTTGCACCAAGCCTTGTTTCTATTATTTGTTATTTACAGTTTGTTTCCAGTTTTAAAGCAGCATGCCTCCAGATTCATGCTAATTTTCATGAAAAATTTGAAAATATATTTATAAGTATTATGTTGTGAAGTGAGCTAAGAAAGTTATTTTCACATTGCAGACGGAACTTACAATCTACGTAAATTACCAGAGAGGTAAAAAAAAATGCACTTTTTTTTCTCGAAATATTTTGGTTCATCTGGAGGCATGCTGCTTTAACCATTTATTTGATTGGTGTATGTCAGTGGGCAGCTGGGCATAAACAGTTTCTGTTGTGTGTATTTCCTCCAACATTTTTAAATGGATAAAACTTTAAGAGAACTATTCACGAAATGTATGCTATAGTGTACATGACATTTTGATTTGTGATTTGATCATGTTTTTTGGCAGAATATTGACCTGGTTTTATGACATTGTCCTGTTAGTTGTTATGAGACGTGTGTTTATATATATTTGCAGGGCAACATTGAACGTGTGTTTTTCATACACATCAAGAGACGAGATCTGTACGGCTGTAAAGGAGATGGCGGAGGGAGTTGAGAGTGGTGAAATACTGGAGAGGTGAAAAATCTGTTTATTTTTTCACTTTTTAATTATAGTCTTTTTGCTCATTTTTGTCAGAACTTGTAAGCTTTAACTCAAAAAAGCATTATTATTAAAAGTGTTATAAGTCTGACACCCATTTCTGTGCAGTAAATCTCAAAATATTTTGTCAAAAAGTGTAAAAAAATATTGTATCATGTAAAAAAGTGTATCATTCCATTTTTGACCAATTTCTTGGAAACTGCTAGTTTAAAACTCTATAACAATTGGTCAAGATAGCAGACTTTAAAAGTATAGACTGAAGTGTACCATTTAGATGGCACTATCCAGTTCAAAAGGTAGAGTGTTGCACTGTGAATCAAGTGATCCAGGTTCGATTCCGGGACAGTGCAGGTCACTTTCATTGTGATTGATCATGAAATCCTTTCTACAGTCATTCACACTGTACCTCTGCTCTGGCATGTTAAGAAGTTATCAGCTCCTTGCAAAAGTTAAGGCAACTAGTACTGTTAAAAGGCTTGACAGCCATCCCAGGAGTGATGCGGTGGCTGAACTGTGCTCTGGTTAATTCAATGTAACTTACTGCTGTGATCCCGAGTAAAAACTACCAATACCATTAAGATTTACAATTTAATCATCAATGTTTTGTCTAATTTAACAATAAATGTTAACTAATTAAGTTGTTATTAAATATTGTACATGTATATGTTTACAGTGACATAAGTGAGGAGATGTTGGAGAGATGTTTGTATACAAACCGTTCTCGACATCCTGATTTGCTGATTCGTACTTCCGGAGAAGTGCGCCTTAGTGACTTCCTGTTATGGCAGGTAAAAGAACTGCTGGTTTATCAATCAGCATTACATGTTTACAGTGTAGTACATTTGTACAGCCATTTATTTGTACTTCTTTAATAATATATACATGTATACATAGTTGATGAGAAAATGGCATTTCAGGTTGTGAATTCTTAGGCTTTATTATATCTTGTACTTAAAGATTTGTACAATAATTTTATTGTTAATGTAAAAAATATAAGTGTGTAAGTTTGATTAGTTTTACAAATTTCTCTGTAAGTAACCATCTGCTAATCCCACAAAAATTAGCTATGAAAGACCAATGACCATAAGAGTCAGTGTCCAAGATGAATGGTCGCAGAGAAATTTTCCCTTGATCAAATCAGTAATTCATAGATTGCAAATCTGATGCTCTTCCTAAAGTTGCGGTCTCTCTTACTCCCGGCAGAGCCCAGGACCACCCCAGTAAGATACCGGGATGATCCGGGGTGAAATTATTGTTGCGGTCACACTAAACCCGGCAGCACTACGATAATTTCCAACTAACCAACTGACCATCCAGGCAGAGCCCAGGTGAAGCAACGGTTCATGCCGGTGCTTCCCCAGTTGTAACCGGATGACACCGGAAGAGCCCCGGTTGACCCCGACAGAGCCCAGGTCGATCCAGACAGAGCCCTGGCAGAGCCCAGGATGATACAGGCAGAGCCTCAGTAGAACTCCGGTGGATTGAAAACACGCGAAAATGATAACATTGATACATAATTTTTATTTAATATAATATCTATTGTTCCAGAATAGTAATTCATGATGATTTTCTGAAAAATCCTTATGCAAGACTTGATAGAAGGGAAATGGGAAGGGTTTTAATACAAACAAGTGCTATCATTGCAAATTGTCGTGGTTCTTTTGGAATGAACCAGGGCTCTACCGAGATCAACCATAGCTCCATTGTCATCCTCCGGGGCTCTGCGGGCATCCTCAAGGGCTCTGCCGGCATTCACCGGGGCTCTACCGTAGCTCTACAGGCTATATCATACCCCGGATCATCCCCGGTTTGTGCTGGCAGAGCTACGGTGCTTCCCTGGTGTAACCCTAGTCGTTTCCAGCAGAGCTAAGGATGAAGCCGGCAAAGCTTTACTTCACGGATCACCCCGGAGATAATGAATATTTTTTTCCATCCGGGGTTGAATGCCGAATGTTCCTGGATCATCCTGGATGTTGCTGGCAGAGTTATGGTTCGCGGTCATACCTCGGTCGTCTACCGGGGCTCTGCCGGGATGTCAGTGAGACTGTAGCTTAAGTAAATGGACGTAAATCTATGTGTAAAGACAACAATGTAAGGTCTTGGTCATATTCTTATATATATGTATGTTAAACATTTAAAATATCATTTAATGAATAACTTTCAATGGCTTTCTGTTATATTTTAGAGTACATTCAGCGTGCTGTCATTCCTAGAGGTGCTATGGCCAGATTTTAGTATCTGGCACCTGTATGCAGCGGTTCTCCATTATCAGAGGAACTATACAGCTGTAAATGTATGTATGATTTCTTCTTCTTCTTGGTACCATTTGTGTTTGTGTTTACAAATTGATTGTAAAAATGCGTCTGCAGATGATAAGATGAATTGCCCGAAAGTATTATTTTGACATATAGAAATAAAATTAAAAATTACTTAAATTCTGTGATGGTTTAGTAAAAAGAGAGCAGAATTAAGAAAAGTTTATTTTATTTCTTGAGTTCAGTAAAAGGGAGCCAAATTCTTTCAAAATTGCCAAAATTTTGGATCCATAAATCAAAGGGTTTTGTGTGAAATCATTGTTACTCCCTCTACATATGGGTTAAAATCTTTTCTCCCCGAGACCTCAAGATGAATTTTATTTACAGTACAACCTGTGCAAAAATGCCCTCTGTAGAGCAATAACTTCCTTAAAACAACAGTGCTAAGTGTCTTCCCGAAGTAACAATTCATAATTGATTTGAAACAAATGATAGCATTAAACTTGAAATTCATGAAGAAATAAAATATTAAACTACAGTGAAACTTCTTCAGACCAACACCTCTCAGCTGCAACAAAAATCATTGTGTCCCATAGGGTGTTGCTGTACAGAGGTTGCACTGTATTTGAATGTTTTATTTCTTCATGAACTGGAAGTTTTATGTTATTACTTATTTTATCATTACACGGTACTTGAAGATTTGATAACAAGATTTCCTAAATTTGTTTTCGTGAGAAAATTTTTTGGGGGACTTATCTAGGCTAAGATTGCGCATGCACAGTTCAAAGTTAAGCCCCACACTCAAGTCTTACTCAAAAGATTGAAATCAATCTTCAACTTAACCAAGGTAAGTCCGGTTTAATTTGTAAGATTTTTACTTTAAAAGTTTATTGATGTATTATTTTGCTTTGATTTACAGAATGCTATAGAAGAGAACGACCAAGAAAAGAAAAGATTACAGGCGGAATCAGACAGACAGTGTGTACTTCAGGAGGAAAAGTGTAAAAAATGTGACACTGAATCGTGTAACCATGGCAACTGTCCTCATTCAAATGACCTTAAACAATTGACCTTTCAAGAAAAGGTCGAACAATATTCACAAGCAAGACAGAAAAGAGTGGATAATTTTTGTAATAATCTACAAAACAGAAGAGACATGTTTTTCCAAGACTTGAATGTGAAACAGAAAAGTTGAGATACAGTTAGAAGATCTATATTTGTTGTTTATAATCAGATATTTTATATTTAAATCTACCAGTACCTTGCAGGAACAAGGTTGAATACTTGTAGATAGAAAATTTATATACAACCCATGACTTGTTTGGTTATGCTACTAAAAGGTGTTAAGTTGTACGAGGACATTATTAGTTCGTCAACCCAATGCATTCTGTTTTCTGAGTTTTTATTCTTGCCAAAATCTAAAGAACTTTAGTGCTAGAACTGGTTCTTTAACTCTCTGTATTAAAGATTTGATGATTGTTACATGAGTTATGGCCCTTTTTTAGCTCACCTGTCACAAAGTGACAGGGTGAGCTTTTGTGATCGCTTTTCGTCCGGCGTCCGGCCGTCGTCCGTCCGTCCGTCGTCCGTCCGTAAACTTTTACTTTAAATGACATCTCCTCATAAACCACTGAGCCAATTTCATCCAAACTTCACAGGAATGTTCCTTTGGTGGTCACCTTTAAAAATTGTTCAAAGAATTTAATTCCATGCAGAACTCTGGTTGCCATGGCAACCAAAAGAAAAAACTTTAAATATCTTCTTTTAAAAAACCCAAAGAGCTAGAGCTTAGATATTTGGCATGAAACATCTTCTAGTGAGTGTCTACCAAGTTTGTTCTAATAAAAGCCCTGGGGTCAAAATTGGCCCCGCCCCAGGGGGTCATTGATTTTCCCTATATGCATATAGTAAAAACTTAAAAAATCTTCTTTTAAAGAACCCATAGAGCTAGAGCTAAGATATTTAGCATGAAACATCTTCTAATGGGTGTCTACCAAGTTTGTTCAAATAAAAGCCCTGGGGTCAAAATTGGCCCCGCTCTAGGGGGTCATTGATTTTCCCTAAATGCATATAGTAAAAACTTAAAAAATCTTCTTTTAAAGAACCCAAAGAGCTAGAGCTAAGATATTTAGCATGAAACATGTTCTAATGGGTGTCTACAAAGTTTGTTCAAATAAAAGCCCTGGGGTCAAAATTGGCCCCGCCCCGGGGGTCATTGATTTTTCTTATTTGTGTATAGCAAAATTTTAAAAAATCTTCTTTGAAAAAACCCATATAGCTAGAGTTTAGATATTAAGCATGAAACATCTTCTAGTGAGTGTCTACAAAGTTTGTTCAAATAAAAGCCCTGGGGTCAAAATTGGCCCCGCCCCAGGGAGTCATTGATTTTCCCTAAATGCATATAGTAAAAACTTAAAAAATCTTCTTTTAAAGAACCCAAAGAGCTAGAGCAAAGATATTTAGCATGAAACATGTTCTAATGGATGTCTACAAAGTTTGTTCAAATAAAAGCTCTGGGGTCAAAATTGGCCCCGCCCCGGGGGTCATTGCTTTTCCTTATATGTGAAAGCAAAATCTTTAAAAATCTTCTTTGAAAAAACCCATATAGCTAGAGTTTAGATATAAAGCATGAAACATCTTCTAGTGAGTGTCTACCAAGTTTGTTCAAATAAAAGCCCTGGGGTCAAAATTGGCCCCGCCCCAGGGGGTCATTGATTTTCCCTATATGCATATAGTAAAAACTTAAAAAAAGCTTCTTTTAAAGAACCCAAAGAGCTAGAGCTAAGATATTTAGCATGAAACATGTTCTAATGGGTGTCTACAAAGTTTGTTCAAATAAAAGCCCTGGGGTCAAAATTGGCCCCCGCCCCGCGGGTCATTAATTTTCCTTCTATGTGTATGGCAAAAACTTAAAAATCTGCTTTGAAAAAACCCAAATAGCTAGAGTTTAGATATTAAGAATGAAACGTCTTCTAGTATGTGTCTACAAAGTTTGTTCAAATAAAAGCCCTTGGGTTAAAACTGGGCCCGCCCTAGAGGTGTCATTGTTTTTAACTATATGTGTATAATAAAAACTTAAAAAATCTTCTTTGAAAAAAACCCAATGAGCTAGAGGTTAGATTTTAAGCAGGAAACATCTTTTTGTTGGTGTCTGCCAAGTTTGTCCAAATAAAAGCCCTTGGGTTTAAATTGGCCCTGCCAAAGGGGGGGGGGGGGAGGTCATTGTTTTTCATTATATGTGTGTAGTAAAAACTTAACATCATAAAACATCTTCTAATGGGTGTCTTCCAAGTTTGCTGGGGTTTAAACTGGCCCCGCTTCCGGGGGCCTATATACAGGTGAGCGACCTCAGGGCCATCATGGCCCTCTTGTTTAACTTGTTCTCATATTATGGCTTAGATAGTTCCTGATTTATACAATATTTACCTCCCTTACCAAAAAAGTGGCAGCCATTATGCAATATTCTGTATATTTGATAAAATATGAAGAAAAAAATTATATAAACGTAATGTTGTAGCACCAGCATCAAAAAGATTTTTTTTTTCATTTAAATGAAAATACTAGAATTATAAGATTTTTGTCTTATCTAAAGCTAACGATATGTTGTCAGTGACCCTCAAAATGGCAGTCAGGGGAGGTAAACATTGCAATGTAAAAAGCATCTATTTATTATATGTGTTAAATTGATGTTTCTGTGAATTACCTCCCTTGTATATTTAAATTGTATTCTTGATTTACTAACGGTATTTTAGAAATAGTTACTCTCCCATAACTACTCTGTGTCAGTTCTCGGTGCAAAGTTTGTGTTGTGAAAAGATGTTTTAAACTTGTAGAGTTTATTTGTATTGTTTATGAAATAAACAAATATTACAGAATTAAATGGAAATGTTTTTTTTTTTTAAAAATTCATCCATATCCTGAGAAACATGAGCCTAAGCCCACCCTGTAATGAAAACCTGCATTTTATCCCAGTATATGAGCAAACTTTTATATTTAACTTGCTAAATATATCAATTTTAAAGTGCAATGTTGATCTTTCTGTTGCGAATGGTAGTGAAATCCGTAAAGCTATAAATGTGCCCCAGAATTGGAGAAACCCAAATTTGCTGAGTTGGGGATAATGTCTATACCTGTGTTATAGCATCATATCTCCAGATTGGCATTCTAATTATTACTGAAATTAATAACAGTGTTTTAAATAGTAATACTTTTGATAATTTTAAAAGATCATGTTAGTTAGCCTTGGGGCACTTCAAATGAAAATATTTAGTAAAATTATTGTTGTTGATTGCATAAAGTCAATTTTAGTTTGCCTTAGGTTCTTCCAATAAGAAATAATGAAAAATTAATAAAACTTGTTGATTGTAAAACATAATTTTAGTTTAAGGCATTTTGCCATACCCTGCTCCAATGGAAGTGATCTACCTTTTGCATAAGACTCGAGGGTTGACCGCAAAACTACAATTACTTATATGATATAAAAAAGGACTTACAACAGTTTTGCGATCAACCCTCAAAGTATAGAGCTTGCCCATGTTTCACATTTGTGCACTTTCACCATGCTCTGTAATGATGATAGCTCAATTTTTGTATTTTGTTCATGAAATTCCTTAGAATTTAAATGGACTGTTCCAAATTAAAAGCAGGGTAAATCCAAAACACAAATTCAGCAGGGAAAGGATTGCCTGGAGGTTACAATTTTAAAAGATCAATATGGTTTATGCTGTCTACATTTTTTTTTCTTTTTGTAACTGTACAGCATGTTTTAAAGCTGTATGACTCCGAATAATATCTAAAGTATTTCAAGAAAATTAAACTTAAGAACAATGTTCTATGATTTTAAGAAAAGGATTCAAGCAATAATTTGCTTGTTACATTGCATGTGTGATTAATGCCTGATTTTGTAGTATTTGCAGTATTTGTTACCATATTTCTATAGAATTACTAACACAGTAATGGCTTTTTTTTGCATATTTTGACCTCTTTTTGGTAATTTACATGAATTGCAAGTGTTGTTTGCAATGTTTAAATTAATATTTTTTTTACATTTCATATACATTTACATTTAAATACATTATAAAATTTTTGATGAAAATTAGCTTGAATCTGAAGGCATTGTGATTGAGTTCTAACTGAAAATTTTAAAATTAATTTTAATACTTTTAATTTTTATGCGGTTTTTCGTTATTGAACTGCTTATTTTGTTATATGAACCTATATGGTGTCCAAGACATTATATTTCTTGTTACCAGAAATACTTAATCTAGGTTTTTTAAATTTTTTTCATGTGGGTTTGTGGGTTTAAAATCATTTGATGAACATCTATTAAATATCATATACCTCGGCAGGGTGGACCTATGTACTGTAGAGCAATACTTTAAAGGAACCCAACCTAACGAGAGTATAAACAGATTTACAAGATTTGTTTACCATTTGCTGTAGATCTAGGCCAATAATTTGTGTGCAAATTGTCACATCATTCTTATTCCTTGTTTTTCAGAATAAACATTTTCATAGGGTAAATGAACACTTTTCACTCAAATCATGCTAAGAATTGCACAAAAAATAGATATTCAATTTAATACTGCGTATATTTTTAATTTATCCTTTGCAGATTTTTCAATTATAAGTGTTTCATATTTCATATTTTATTTTTTTTTTGTCTTTTGACTCAGTTAAGTCCCTTTAATCTCTACAACAACAGTATCAGTTCCTATGAAGATAAACTTTATCATTTATACAGAATTTACATGTATTTCAGTTTAATTGTGTTGTAAGCTATATGCTTATAGACAGCCTTTTGAGTCCATTTCTGGAACCGACCAGTACTGAGAAATGAGACTAGGTATCAAGGGCTTTCATCTGATGGGCTTTGAACCCTAGTGGCTAGAGACCCTTAGATTACTAATCTGACATGTAAACCACTCAGCCATATTTTGCAAAATGACCCAAAAGTAAAGAGCATTTATAAGCTCTGAACTGTAAAAAAGAGAACAAAATTCAATGAAAATTTGAGTTAATATCTTTTATTGAAATAAATTTAGGAGTACGTAAGAGTTACAAATTTTATATTTCTACAGTGGGGCTTTTTTTCTTTTAAAATCAGAAATGCATGTGTAGCAGTACATGATCATATTTTTTACACCAGGTATAAAACAAAGTGACTGTGTATATTTTGCTGTATTTTTTTGTTGCCATTTATAACAGCTGTTTTAACCACATGTTGTGTTATTTATATAAAGTATGAATAAATCATATGCATGTTATAATGTTATATAGTGGTAAATTTATTAAATAATGTGTTTTCCCTCAACAAGTTTCAACAAACCTTATACAACATGTTTATACATTATGTAATTTGGTTAAAAAACTTGCCCATAGCTTAAGAAATGTCGGTGGTTCTACTCAGGTGTCGGTTTGTGCCTGAAATAATGTGCAGAAGGGCACCCCGAGGTCTTCATCCACCTGTAAAGCTGGAAAGTGGCTATATGACCTATATACTGTGTTGCTGTGACTTAACATCCCCCTTCCTGGGACCAAAAAAAGGAGAACCTCCCACAACCAATTATGAAATGGACATGTGCTATTTTTACCTGTACATAGATGTTAAATATGTTATAAATTAAACATATCCATCTTTCAATCTGGACAAAACTATGCATTCAGATTTTTTAGGAAGAACTTCAAAATATGATTTTTATAACTAATGAAGATAGCAAGAAGGCATGGATGTGTTGGCTGTGATCAGCTGCCATGAACAGGTCAAGAATTCAATTTGGAACAGCCATTTAGGGATCGGGCTGAAGCATGGTTGGTTTTCCTGATTAAAAAAGAATAAAAATTAAACAGCCAGTAGTATCAGATTTTAGTCTTGTTAGATTGCATGGACATGTATGGCCCTGCTGGTTTGGCTCTATATTTTGGTGGTATAAGTCTTTTAAACCTGAACTTGCTGGAACCTTGCTGTGTCTAGTCTATACCACTGGCCTAGTGAGGCCAGACTGCATGAGTAAATTCTCTTTTAGACAAAAATGACTTGTACATGATTATGTGCATTAAAGATTATTGAGGTCAATTAGTATTGCTATGGTAATGTCATTTCATAGTCTCAATGTTTATCCAAGCACTTTATTTTTTCTCTGCTGCCATTGCAACAGCATCCCTTCACAAAATCACTGTACATTAATGTTAAAATTGTCCACATTATTTCAAAACTAACCAAATCAACATTTCAAGACAAATAATTGTATTCTTATTTTGGTAGAAAACAGTCAAGATAAAAGCTGCATGCCTCCACATCTGTCAAAAGATTTTAGGAATATCAACATTTAGAAAAATATACATAGGTTTTAAGAAACAGTAAATGTATTCACAATCCAAGTAATAATTTACATGTTATATGCAATGAATGACATTTAGACATAAAATCAATGTTTGGAATACATAATTATTATTTCTTCAATATATTTTCAAAATTTTCATAAAAATTAGCATGAATCTGGAGGCAATGCTGTTTTAAATGACTGGAGACTTTTAAAATGTCTGACCAAAAACAGAAGTATGTATCAAGATTCTTGTACATTTATTTTAGAATCTAGTTCCAATTTAAGAAATTATTTTGAAAACATAATTGCCTCAGAAATTTTGCAGCTATATGACCCAGTTCTCTTGGCAATGCGTCTGCAAGTGAAGATTTTTGCAGATCAAAAGTATCGGCCTCCCAGTAATGGTAATTTAGATTTCTCCATTTAGCTAATGTCTGAAATGTGTTGTTCACATTTAAGCTATAATTCGTTGGAAATACTTCAAAGACTATAGCCTGCTCTGGTAAGAACAGAATGTTTACAAGCTCTTCTCTATGTATACTGACAAGTATGTCTGCTTTTGAGACATCTTCAATCTTGTCTTGTAGACTACCTAGTGTTTTGTACGATTGTAATTTATGATCTGAAAAGATTTCCATCATAAATGGATAAAAGCGGTCCTCACGAATGTTTTCAATAGCATGTCCCGTTTTCCGATCGATGACGGCATCAAATTTGTTCATAAATAACACGTTTAATTTTTTACAATCTTTTTTATGATTATAATCCAGGTTGTGTCTGCTAAGGAAAAATTTCCTAAAACTTTCCAGATTTGGAATGGATTGTAATTTGTACTTAGAATTTAGTGGGCTTTCACTGTCGCTTAAACCCCATATCATATTCTTGTACATAACCGGTTTCTTTATTTCTTGGATTCTGTGGACTTGGCGAAAAAGTGTTTTCCATGTTGAATTTGTTGACATTTCTGGTAGACCATCTATAAAAAGGATATTTACAGTTTTAGGATCAAGGTCAAAGGCTCTACATAGCAAATATGCGTTGTAAAAAAATCCAGCATTGTTTTTTGGGTTAAAGTTTTATTGTGTTTCCCTTTGGGAAAGGGCAAGGGGTCCGGGTTTTGAAACTGTTTTAAATTTTTGGGCATTTTTCAAAACCGTCAAAGGGGGCCTTTGCCCCATTGAATTTAAATTGGGGCCCGCAATGAAACACTATCATATCTTTAAACTTTTCACTCAATGAAAAATCCAGGCAAAACATTGTACAATCCAATTTTTGAATTTACTGCACTCGTTAATTTTCCGAAAGCTGGATTTATTATAATGTTTTTCACTTTAGCAAATTTTCCGAATGCAATGAAATTTGAATCGCAATACGTTTTTCCTCTCTTTATCAAACTTGCAGCAAATGGGTCGGACGGCAGCTGAAATTCTGAATCTGGATCAGAAACAGCAACGTCCACTGCACCGGAATGTCTCCCCGACCGTTCAAGAGGTTCCTCAGAATCGTGAATCTGCGTCTTTGAATTCATACTGTCTTTTAGCCATATCATAACAACCAGCAGTAAAAATAAACAGGCCACGTTACACAAAGATTTATTCATTTTCATTAATCTATACATACACTGCATAGTCCAGAAAACTCTTACGATAATAGCCTATTAAATATCAAATTCACTGTTCACTTTTAACAGTTTAAACTCATCAAAAATCTTATGTCAAATTATATGCACACCAATTATTTTAACGATATTTTCTCTTTATTTGATAAAATGATAATTTAGATGTGAGTATGATAAAAATAATTCATAGATTTTCTTTTCTGTATTGTAATTACATTTTATTGATTTTCTGTGAAAAAAACCAACAGTTACTGTATCAAACATGTTTAATTACACATGGATAATTTTATCTGTAAGAAAATTGTTGAAACTTGAAAATCTCATATAATTATATATATATTAAGCACTGCTTCAGATTTTAGTCTTTTCAGATTTAAGACAGATTTTGTCCTTGTAAATTTTATGAATAATTTCATCGCTGCAGAATATAGACTTATTTTCTCCTTTCAGATTTTATACTTATTTTGTTTTCTCAATTTTTTTTCCCAAAGAAACATGGCATTGCTAGATATAAAACAACTCTTTTTATCTGAACAATGATGAATTTTATCTGAAAACTCTCAATTTTATTTGGTAGATGAAAGGAGGTGACCGGGAGGGACTTTTTTGTTAGTAAACAAGAGCAATCCGTGATCACATGTGTCGCCTGACATGATAGTCATTTGCATGTTGCAGCTACTGTGTAGCAGGAGACACTCAAATCATTAACATGGCCAAACACATTTGTTATTCAAGGGCTATAACTGAGCCAAAAGTTATTCAACCAGAAAACCGTTTTATATAATGCAAGTACTTGAGGTACCTATCAATCCTGTCAAATTTGATTTAAATTGCATTAGCAGTATAAGAGAGTCTTAACAAAACATAAAATCATTAAAGGGCCATAACTGTGACAAAAATCATTGAACCTTAAAATACAAATACAAAATGTAATATAAACTTAGTACTAATCATTCCTTTTAAGTTTGAATGAAATTGCACTAGTTTTTCTGAGAAATAGTCCAGACAAGCTTCTGTTTAGGTGGCAACTAAAAAAAACCCTTTTTATTCAAGGGCCATAACTCAGCCACATATCATTCAAGCGGAAAACTCATGTTATATGCACAAGTACTTGAGTTACCAATCAATTCTGCAAAGTTTCATTGAAATTGCATTATTGGTACTCTGCATAGGGCGACACAAAAATGGAAACAGTATATAGGGAAAGAAACAACAAAATGTCAATAATCAGTGGAATGTTTTATATTTTATAAAAGTGAATAACAAACAAATAAATAAAAGTTCTCAATTCTATATACAGTGGAACAAAAAAAAATGACATAATACCAAATATATCAATGAAATTAACAATAAATTAACAATTAAAACACACATGCCCCCACCCCGATCAAAAATTGGTAAATAATAAAAGGAATGGGAGATTTCCAAAATTTTCATAATTTGACCTTTGAAGGTTAAGGTCATTTAGGGTTTAAGGTCATATTTTATTTTATATTCATCATGAAAAAACTTTATGTTTATGTGTCCAAGAAATATAATGGAACTATCCAATAGAATGAAAATATGGTGGCCAAGGTTACAACTGTTGGCAGAGACAGACAGACAGACAGACAGACAGAACAACAAAAAAGGATATAACCCTAATTCTACTGATGTGGAAGAATAAACAGATCTATCTCCAATAACAAAAAGAAACTGCTTTTAACTCTACATTGTCCAGTTTATAATTTGTAACACTTTTTATATTGCTGTTGTATTTAACTATTTATCCAGTTAACTACAGCACATTTTCAATAACATGTTTCAATAAGATTTTAATAAACATGTACATGTATTTAATTTGCAACAAGAATTTATAAAATGAACATAATAATACCATAATTAATCAAATATAACCCTGGATTTGTATGCTGTAACATACATTAAAGTGCAATAACTCTTTTCAATAGAAAACATTGGAATATTATTATGAATATGGTAAAAAAAAAGGACCTTAAACTGATAGGTGTGATGCTGTAAAATTAATACAATATATTATGTTGTAGTAGCTTTCTGAGGCTTTGTATTTTGCTACCAGCAGCGGTGGAAAATTGATATCTCCCGAAACCGAAGTTCGAGCAAGATATTAATTTTTCAACCTTGCGAGCAGGAAAATACATGGCCTCAGACAGCTGCTTCAACATAATTATTTTTTTTATACTCCAATAAATTTTAAGACAAAATGAGTTTTAATATACTGAACTTAGTTATTTGAGAAACAGAAATATATCCGAATGACCGATGAATACGTAACTTCTGCAAAAGAGGCCATGCCTTCAAAAGCTTTGGTTAACATTTCTTAATGCTATGTAATACACAGCTCAGATGGTAATCAACGAGAAAAATAGTCCGGTACTTCTGTTTATGAACAGACTTTTATTACAGTGTCTGTGGTACATGGATCCGTATTTGTCACTAACATAAAACAAATTTTTCCATACATTCAATTGTATTAGCTAGGCATCAAGATTTCTGTGAATTTTAGAGAGAAAACTTTTCAATATTTAATTAATACATTACTTTATAAAAATCAACTATTCTTAAACAAGCATTTTTATTAATTTACATGTCCTGCCACAGGCATTAATTTTCATGCCTGTTAAACTCTTTAGCATTGAAAACAAAAATACCGTAAAATTCCTATTAATTGCCAGAGGCTAAACATTTTTCAAAAGGCGGTTTATTAAACCATAGTTTTTCCTAAATCCAAAATTCATGGTGTTTAACAAGTATTCATTTTAACATTAAAAAGTGTTAAAGTTTAAAAGTTTATATAATACATGTACATTAATGTTTTGTGTTAACTATAAAATACATTGGATTGGGAAGGGTTTGAATAAAATTATGGATTTACACTTGAGTTCAGTACTGGTGAGCTGATTTTTTCCTTATCAAAAAACCTGTAGAGACCTTTATTAGGGGAGGGGCGTTTAATAGAAATTTTACAGTAGATGGAGAAATATTGCTTATCATATGGGTAACTTCATAAGACCCATTTGAGACATTTTTAGCCTATAGAATATGTGTTGATAAAAAAGAATCATTAAAGAATTAAAATACATATGTACTGGAATCTATCACAATATACTATTACTAGACTATACTAATGTAAAAAATATATAAAAACATATTTATAAATATCTAAAGTTGTAAAATAAGGCTATTTACTTGCGTGAACTTTCCATTTTTAATGGTGAAATATAATTTCAAGTTTAAAATCAGAAACCTTTTTGTGTTTCCTTTTCTGATACGGACCTTAACAAAAAGGTTAACAGCAATGTAATAAATTATTGTAATAACAAAAGACAAGAGGGCCATGATGGCCCTGAGGTCGCTCACCTGTATATAGCCCCCCCCCCCCCCCGGCCAATTTTTACCCAAGGCCAAGGGCTTTTATTTGAACAGACTTGGTAGACACCCATAAGAAGATGTTTCATGCTAAACATCTAAGTTCTAGCTCATTGGGTTTTTTAAAAGAAGATTTTTTAAGTTTTTACTATACACATATAGTTAAAAACAATGACACCCCTAGGGCAGGGCCAGTTTTGACCCCCGGGCTTTTATTTGAACAAACTTTGTAGATATTTACTTAAAAATGTTTCATGTATAATATCTAAACTCAAGCTATTTGGGTTTTTTCAAAGAAGATTTTTAAGTTTTTGCTATAATCATATAAGGAAAATCAATGATCCCCGGGGCGGGCCAGTTTTGACCCCAGGGCTTTTATTTGAACATACTTGGTAGACACCCATTAGAACATGTTTCATGCTAAATATCTTAGCTCTAGCTCTTTGAGTTCTTTAAAAGAAGATTTTTAAGTTTTTACTAAATGCATATAGGGAAAATCAATGACCCCCTGGGGCGGGGCCAATTTTGACCCCAGGGCTTTTATTTGAACAAACTTGGTAGACACTCATTAGAAGATGTTTCATGCTAAATATCTTAGCTCTAGCTCTTTGGGTTCTTTAAAAGAAGATTTTTTAAGTTTTTACTATATGCATATAGGGAAAATCTATGACCCCCTGGGACAGGGCCAATTTTGACCCCAGGGCTTTTAATTGAACAAACTTGGTAGACATTCACTAGAAGATGTTTCATGTCAAATATCTAAGCTCTAGCTCTTACAGTTCTTTAAAAGAAGATTTTTTAAGTTTTTACTATATGCATATAGGGAAAATCAATGACCCCCCCGGGGCGGGGCCAATTTTGACCCCAGGGCTTTTATTTGAACAAACTTGGTAGACACTCACTAGAAGATATTTCATGTCAAATATCTTAGCTCTAGCTCTTTGGGTTCTTTAAAAGAAGATTTTTTAAGTTTTTACTATATGCATATAGGGAAAATCAATGACCCCCTGGGGCAGGGCCAATTTTGACCTCAGGGCTTTTATTTGAACAAACTTGGTAGACATTCACTAGAAGATGTTTCATGCCAAATATCTAAGCTCTAGCTCTTTGGGTTCTTTAAAAGAAGATTTTTTAAGTTTTTACTATATGCATATAGGGAAAATCAATGACCCCCTTGGGCGGGGCCAATTTTGACCCCAAGCTTTTATTTGAACAAACTTGGTAGACATTCACTAGAAGATGTTTCATGCCAAATATCTAAGCTCTAGCTTTTACAGTTCTTTAAAAGAAGATCTTTTAAGTTTTTACTATATGCATATAGGGAAAATCAATGACCCCCCGGGCTGGGGCCAATTTTGACCCCAGGGCTTTTATTTGAACAAACTTGGTAGACACTCACTAGAAGATGTTTCATGCCAAATATCTTAGCTCTAGCTCTTTGGGTTCTTTAAAAGAAGATTTTTTAAGTTTTTACTATATGCATATAGGGAAAATCAATGACCCCTTGGGGCGGGGCCAATTTTGACCCTAGGGCTTTTATTTGAACAAACTTGGTAGACACTCATTAGAAGATGTTTCATGCCAAATATCTAAGCTCTAGCTCTTACGGTTCTTTAAAAGAAGATATTTAAAGATTTTTCTTTCGGTTGCCATGGCAACCAGAGTTCTGCATGAAATGGAATTCTTTGAACAATCTTGATAGAGCTTCATACAAAGAGTATTCCTGCCAAGTTTCATTAACATTGGCCTTGCGGTATCATAGAAGATGTCCTTAGAATATTTAAAAT